AACGGGATTTCAAGTGAACGTAGAGAAGACGGAGGTGATGAAGATACCCAACCAACAACGCCATCAACAACAAGCTTCAATCACCATCAACGGAAGAAACTTGAAGGAAACAGACTCTTAAACCTATCTAGGCAGCACTGTTTCAACTATAGGTGGCAGCACACACGACGACATCAAAGCCAGCAAAGATCGGAAACACACCAAGATAGGCCTTCATCAAACTGAAACTAGTATGCAGATCTTCTGCACTCACCATAAAGCGTCAACAACATCCAGAATTTCAACACCAATGCCAGTCAACTCAGTGCTTCTATATGGTTGAGAGACTTGACGTGTCACGAGAGGCATTTACAACAAACTACACACATTCATCAACAACTACCGCCTACACTCACTCGCTACTCAAGCTCAGATGGCCAGCATAATAAGAATAAATAACAAGGGACTCTGGATGGGAACGAACCAACCAACAACCTATCACTCAACGAAATATGCAGAAGGAAGTGGAGATGGATTGTATTGAGAATGCACTGAGAAGACGATTTGGGGACATCATGCGCTAGCTAGGCCACGCCCTCGAGTGGGACGCAGATGAGAAACGACGAGTTTGGCGTCCGAGACGAGGTCGACATGGAGGATATGGTGTGAGGAAGAAATGAGAGGTTGTGGGCAGTCGTGGAGCCAGGTTCAAAAGATTGAAGCGAACAGAGTGGAATGGAGACGTGCTACTGAAGCCCTATGTCCCACCAGGAATCCATGGGACAAATAATAATAATCATGAAGAATTTTCGCATGGGATATAAAAGAAACATTTTAAAATCAAATGTCTGCCAACTGTTTAGTGAATTTTGTTCTTTGTCTTAGAAGGAATATCTTGATGACAACCTTTTCCCTATAGATTATTACGAATTCTCTGAGCAACCAATCCATGTTAGCTAAACATAAATTTTACAATAGTAGAACGAATTGTCTTTTTTCTTAGCATTAATCACTTAACGCGTTTTGTGTTCACAAGAAACTTTGACCACACGGCAGGTAAATAAAAATTACAAATAGTTTTACTGCTTGATTGTTACTCTAACATACGATGAAAATATCATGTATATTTGTAAAATACAATTTTTCTGAGTTGGTTAATGAATATCTGAATAAATACCAAAAGACTTTTCATAGACAGGATTGTATCTACATAGTAGAAAGGATCTATCACTGATATACTTCATCCTGTAGATACGAAATACTGTTTTCTGTGTGGTTTATATCAGATTCTTAGATTTTAAAGAAGCATTGGCTTCGACTTCATTTGTATGTACATAAGATGGCTCTTACTCCCCTTACTTACTTTCTGGGTTTATTGTTCTTTACCTCTACGATATTAAAGATCTCTTAAAGTTGCACACTAGTAAGGCAAAGATTGAATATCAAACGAAATGTTCATTAATTATACTGAAATCACCAATCCTACTGATAAAAAAACGAAGCCATCTTAAATTTCTTCTCCTTCTATACACCTTTGATATCAGTCTAACCTATCCACTTGTTCTTTGTATGCTACTGCAAAGTGTGGCAACCTGAAGCAATACACCTCTGTACGAGGTTTTACTTTTATTCAGTCTGTCTGATATGAAGCCATCATTCAAGGAGCATGTAGCTACTTCATTTTCAGTGAACTCAATCACCGATTAAACTAGTTTGCGGTATGACAAGTTCCTCATTGCCATTGTGTCCTGTCAGGGAAACCCTTTTTATATATCTTGGGCTAAGCTGTACATTCTTCATACGTATATGCCTCCAGGTCATAACTTCTCATGTTTAATCAATTAGACCTTATTTCACAATGACTGACTAGAATTTGATTTTCTTTCCAGTTTGTTGTGCTTATTGGCAGTGAAATGATTATTGTCTTTGAAAAATAGTTCCGCATGACCACATTGGAACCTCTATCAGTTAGCTTACAGCATTCTTTACCCAAACAATTGTTAGATGTCAGAGTAATGTTGTATTCGTTTACCGGACCCGTTATTTTGGGCCTTAAGTCCATATTCCATATCTAATCAACTCAATTTTGCTGGTAAGTTACAGAATTCAATGATAACGTTTCGGATTTCATAAAAATGTATCTGTTTCAAGAACTCTGATCACTATTTCTCTTAAATGAATATAGAAAGACTCAACTATGAGTGATTGCATCACTGATCTCTTAGTATACCTGTGGTTCATTGGTTTAAGGCAGACAAATTTTCATCAGTGGGTCATGGGTTCAAATCCCGCTCCCCTTAACGGGGTTTGGCCAGTTAGGTAGTATCATTAGCCTTCAAACAATAAATGTGACCTATTGTTCACTGCACAAGGTTGATGTGTACATTTCAATCAATCTTTTACAACGATTCTGCAAACCTATAGTATATTTCATTCAAAATTACCATATCCCTCTGTGAGTGATTTAGTGTACACGAAATACATTTATTTAAGTTCATATATTGATGTAGCTTAACAAAACTATAGAGAAGTGGATGGTAAGCGAAGGAAATGAACCTTTTTATCGATTCTTTTCCGTATCGTTTATTTTATTTAGGCAGATTGATCAGTTCGGTGTTGAATCGATATTAAATGCATCCCCAATTTTCGACAGTTGACTCAACAACCACGAATTTTAGTCTACTGTCGTACTCTATATTTCTTCTGACTCCATTCTCTTATCTTCATCTTGCGCCTCACTGCCTTTTTACTTGATATACTGATATCAGGTGTGGCAACTCGGACCGTTACGTAGTAATGCCTGGTCCTAGGCTGATCTCGATGGACACCGCATGCTGCCATGTAAGCTTAATGCGATACTCTAGATTAAAAGTATTACAATAAATGAAGAGATTTCATAATTAATATGTATTGTGAATAGCAGTGGAATCCAGAACGTGCGTATCGTCCTATTTGAAACTCGTCAGTTGCTTGTACCTGCCTCTCAGTGAGGAATGTTGTTCCCACTGAGACTCGAACCCGGGGACCGATCGCTTCAAACGCCAGACCGTCGTCCACTGGACCACCGGGGAACCACAATCACTTCTTGTGCAACGGGTATAGTTTCAATATTGGTTGCTTGTATTATCCCATCGTTGAGTGAACCGAAGTGATCGGTCTCTATTGAAAATTGGGTTCTTGTGTGGATGCCTTGATATTGCCTGTATTTCAGTTTTGACTCAGTGGTGTAGTAGACAACACTCTGGCGCTTCAAGCGATCAGTCCTAGGTTCAAGTCTGAGCAGGAGGCAGGTTCATCCAGCTAACAAGTCTAAAAAAAGGGGGAACCCCGTGTTTCACTGCTAGCCACTATCCATTATTACCGTCTACACATATGTTTACAAATTTCATAGTCTACCTTCAAATCTAGAGGTTAAGCTAGATAATATTTTCAAGAAAATATGCGTTTCCTTTATTTTCCAGTCTTCGTAAACACCCACTTTATGAGAGTATTAACGAATACGCTAGGCAGTATATGTACAAACACGTTAATATCAACACAGGACCAGGCAACGCTGATCAACGGTCCAAGTTGCCACACCAAGTAACAAAGTTATATGATGAAAGATGAAGAAAGAAGGAAGGATCGGTCCACAGAGGTAGAAAACACTAAGAGAGAGGGAATGAAGAAACACTGAATTTAGAATGGCGGTTAGGATGAAGATAATGTGTAGATGAATCTACGCCAGATCACCTAGAGCCTCCAACCGGTGGTTTCTCTTGCTGCGAGGACCCCAACCGCCCAGTCTACATCTCCCTAAATGGCTTCATCCATTAATGCCATTCTTTAGTCTGGCTACCCGGAGCCTTTTTTCAGCCTGAACCTACTTCGTCCAACATTGTGTGGTAACGTAGACGGTGGCTAAGCATATGTAACAGATGTCCCGGCCAGCCATTTCAGTCGATATAAGTTGACAACTGCATCATATGACTTTCTACTCCTCCCAAAACTCCACATCTGACTTATTCATGTGATGGCACGACGAAGGCAATGGGTTTTCAAACACCAGAAGCCTTCCCATGTCCCCTACATTTAACGGCCATGTTTCAAAGGTCTGCAGTAAGACTGAGCAAACTGCAGAATAGTAAACTTGACACTTAATCAACAATCGGATATCGCAGCGGCGCCACAGATGACGTAAGTCGGCGAAAGCCAATCGAGCCATTTGTATCTGTGCAGACATTTCGTCGTCCATTGACTAACGCATCAGAGTTGATCCAACTTTGCAGGTAATTGAATTGATCAACATATAACAATAAGGTATTGGATGACCACCAGCAGTGTCGACCCCAAAATAAACACACTTCCATCATCCCACGGCATACTGATGCTTGCGACACGAATTCATGGTCAGATTAGAAAACAATGGAACACATGAATGCATATCAGAGCATAAACAAAGTATCAATGGCATCAATTTATTCATTCAATTACTTTTAATTTAGGATGAAAAGTGATCATTACAACGAATACTCCAATTATCAACAAAACACGAGTGAAGGCAATATGTATATAGAGTAGAAAACAGATAACTATGAAATAAGCATAGTCGATGTGTGTATAGATTTATCCATTATATTGTAGCAGGATAACAACAATAAGGAAGTAATACGAAAATGACGATCAATATTCTTGATAAATGTAAGAATCATTACATTCAAAGGCATATAAACAGATTTTAGTTAGTAATATACTTCAACAATAAAAAGAAGGCACATTGACCTCACAGTTCACACCACTTTTTTGTAGGTGTCTAGGCCGTAATCATCGAAAAAGATGGAAGGGAAAGAGAGAGAGAGAGAGACAGACTCATACTCAGTTCAAACTATTTTTTTAAGAAAAGAAAAAAATCAAGTTGTATTTTTGTTTTGTTTTTCTACCGAAAAACAGGTGAAATGAAATGTTGTTATATCCCATATGAATCCAGTTGCCTGTTCATATGATTGATTTCAACAGTTGCATAAAAAGGAAAGTTGAACTTTTTACTGGACATTAATAAGGAATGGACTACCGGGAACATGTTGATCACCCCATTTCACAACTAAATAATGTTTACCACTTTCAAATACACGATATGATACTGTATATTGATTATTGCATAAATGTTTGATAACTACTTCTTCGGATGCTTGTTTTGGACCATAAATACCGATCAGAAGAACATCATTCCCTAAAATAGTAATAATAGTACACAAATAACATAGATTTGAGTGATAAATAATTTGAAGGTGTTGATTACAATCGGTGTCAGTACTGACGTTTCGTTCCGTCACAACAGTGTTCAGTAATAATTCATACTTAATGTATGAGGGATTTGGCTGTCTAAACTTCGGTACACGGAACAGGCCTCGAACACGTGGCCTAATGGTTTTAATACTCCTCTCCCTAAACTATTGAAGTTACAGTTCCGTTCCCTGTTAAAAACAGCTGTCTACCGCTTCTTAGTTCTTAGTGTCGCCTAAAATAAACGGAAAATCTGAAATAGGTTTCTTTGAATGTATGTCTTAGAATGGATAAAACAGATAACCAAGTTATGATAAATTATCTCGGAAGATACCCAACCAACAACAAGCTTCAATCACCATCAACGGAAGAAACTTGAAGGAAACAGACTCTTTCACCTATCTAGGCAGCACTATTTCAACTACAGGTGGCAGCACACACGACGACATCAAAGCCAGCAAAGATCGGAAACACACCAAGATAGGCCTTCATTAACCTCAATACAGTGTGCAGATCTGCACTCACTATAAAGTGTCAACAACATCCAGAATTTCAACACCAATGCCAGTCAACTCAGTGCTTCTATATGGTTGAGAGACTTGGCACGTTACGAAAGGGATTTACAACAAATTAAAGATATTCATCAACAACTACCACCTACGCTCACTCGGTACTCAAGCTCAGATGGCCAGCATAATAAGAATAAATAACAAGGGACTCTGGATGGGAACGAACCAACCAACAACCTATCACTCAACGAAATATGCAGAGGGAAGTGGAGATGGATTGTATTGGGCATGCACTGAGAAGACGATTCGGGGACATCATGCGCTAGCTAGGCCACGCCCTCGAGTGGAACCCAGATGGGAAGTGACGAGTTTGGCGTCCGAGATGAGGGTGACATGGAGGAGGTCGTGTGAGGAAGAAATGAGAGGTTGTGGGCAGTCGTGGAGCCAGGTTCAAAAGATTGAAGCGAACAGAGTGGAATGGAGACGTGCTACTGAAGCAGTATGTTCCATTAGGAACCCAAGGGACAAATAATAAAATAATAATATAATATTAATATTATAAGATGAAAATATGTAACAATGATCCTCAATGGAACAAGTATACTACGTTAATAGCTTACCTGCTTGACTAGCGTCAACATTGAAATAATTGACACGATCAAGTTCAGCTCGTTTTAATCCAAGTCCATGACAACTGACATATTCAGGATGAGATCCTGAGCTTTGATTCTCTAATTCAATAGTAGCTGACATACCAGTCATTGTTTTACCAACAGTTTCTAAAATCACATTCGATTGACGATCTTCAGAACGTGAATCAGAAATTTCTGATCTAGGAGTTCCACTTATTTCAACCTAAATAAAATAAGGAATGAATGAATGAATGAAACTAATTTTCTTTACAAGATCCACTACATTATATTTACTGTATAGTTAACACTCTCATATGATTCAGTATATTCTGTCTAAAGGAAGCCATTGATAGTGTTGACCAGCTGGAACCTCGAAAATTCAAATTTTCCCCGCCGAATCCATTACGTCCAACTGTTGTCTTTCAACTGATCTTATTCATAAGAATAGAACATCAAATTGTATTATGGTAATTTTGCGGTTTATTAAAATATTTTCAATCAACTATCTTTCAAGTTAACAATAAAATTATTAAAAACAACATGGTAGATTAACAATGGGCTCCATGAAACAGACAACAATATATATCATATAACTATTCCTTCAAATTTTCATATTTGGCTGAATAAATCATCACTGTAAAAAATTAAGCATAATTTCTATCCCATTCGTGTACATATGTGCACCAGTTCAAGTTACAGTAAGCAGTACAATAAAGAAGAGGTGAACGGTATACATTTACACCATTTCAGCCATATCACCAAGACTCTTCAATCATCTTTCATCAAAGACATCCTTGCCAGGTAGTTTCCATCTCCTCACATACACCTCAGACGAACAGTTAAAGACTTCATGAAGTGATACCACGTTTTGGTATGGACACTCTGAAACCTTGTACTGATTGATCACGGGTGTGCAACCAATTTCATGTTGTCTAGTCCTGAGTGTAGACCGAATCCTATCGATCAGCATCGTGGTGCACATTAGTACATGTTAGTTGGTTGAAGGACTCGGTCTGCACTCAGGGCTAGACCACATGAAATTGGTTGCACACCCGCGACCAATCGATACATGTAAGCCAGTCCTATATGAGATCGATCGTGGCCCAAATAGCTCAGTGGTAAAGTCGTTGACTACAACACTGAGTGATGTGGGTTTAAATCTCAGACGGGACATCAATTCCGTCGAGGTTGCAGATACGCCTTGATGACGAATGCCAAAAAGCACGAGACCTAGGTCAAGCAGGCTTTCCTGACGACTGCCTCCAACCAACTAACACTCTGAACCTTCTTTCAATCTAATGCATCTTTTCCTAGCAAAGCACACAAAATATATTTGAGTCGACTAAGGTTCACAACTTCATTAATCGACTTACCTAGTACCCTTCGCCTAACCTTAGTAGTACTCAAGTGAAAGGTATTAAGCAAAATAGATAAGTCGAATGATGTATAGTCTCTCCGGTGGTAGCAGCACATGACAATAAAAAGTTATACATATATTTTCAGTACAGAAAATGCAACCAATACTTACTCGAAACGGTGAACCACTAATATGGAAATTACCACCATACTTTATAGTAATTTCATATATTCCTGGAACAGTTGGTGTATAAAAAAATGCATAACCTTCATCATGTTCTTGACTTGTAACAGTTGCTTTACTAGGACCATCCACAGTTACATTTAGAATACCAGAACCAGCATTGGTAGTATTAACAAAGAAGGCATTTTTGACATCTATAACAAAATTAAATTGATAAAAGATTCAAATGTCTACAAGCTAGAACACAGCTGCTAAAAATTTCATATTGTTATTCATCGTAAACTGACATCAGTTAGAGGAAGAAAGGAAATTTAGGAGCATTGGATAGCTAATTCGTCCTAGTATGGGACTTCTCAGCAGTGCGCACCCATGACCCCACACCACCAGGAATCGAACCCATGAACCTCAGGTTCCACGGCCAGTACGTTACCACTGAGCTAGCCAGTGGGTCAGAATCCAATGGTCCGTATTTCCAACTTCTGTTAGCGCAACCGCCACCCAATATCATCGTTGACTAACTGTCCTCACGACCATCAAGCTTTGACTCCACCGGTCACGACTTCTCATTGGAACCTCGGAAATACCTCTCGAAGCTAGTCACCAATGAGCACCAGTTCAATTGAATTTTGAGGGCTAACAGAAGTTGGAAATATGGAGCATTGGATTCTCACCCAGTGGCTCAATGGTAACGTGCTGGTCACGGAACCTGAAGGTCGCGGGTTCGAACCGTGGCGGGGTGCGCACTGCTGAGCAGTCCCATACTGGTCAGACGAAACAGCTGTCCAGTGCTCCCAGGTTTCCTTTATTCCTCCAACTGATTTCAGTCAGTCTACGATGAATAACAACTTGAAATATTTCCAAATCTCCACAACTCCCTCAGAAATTTCATAATCAATATTTTCAACACTATAAATTATTGAAGAGTATTCACTGCTTCTCGAATCTTAGCTTTCTTAATCAGTCTAAATGAAAACTTTAAGATTATTTTTCATTCCATTGTTCAAAAAACAGCGTAACAGTATGAAAGCATCAGTTCTGAAGTAAAAAAAATTACATTTTGATGATGAGAAATTTACTTCTAACACACTCAAGTTGTCCCAGATAACTCTTCATTTTATCAGTATCTTCACTGAACAAGATTGTGTGTTATCCGCCTACTCTAAGTCTCTAGTGAAAACTTAGATCCTGTAGTTAGAAATAGATAGGGATCCATAAAATGCTTATGAAAAAAATCTAACTGAAATGAAAACGGAACATTCTTGACGGAACTCGCTCATGTGAGTGTAGACGCACAGCCGAGTGATGTATTTACCTGGTACACTCTTTAGTGAAAGAAAACAACGTAAAACCTCTCAGTCAATGGAAGTAAATGTCAATTTCTGGTCAGGAAATATAGATAGCTAGTTCGTATGGTTCAAGATCAAATTCATACATCTACAATCATGTGTGAAATTCGCCTATTTTTCTCAGATATGTGCTTATAAGCATCACTTTGAACGTTTAATGAAATCTTAGATACAATATTCGTTCGTCTGATTTCTCTGTGGTTATTATAAGAGAATTTTTCGCCTTTTTTGAAAACTCAAACAATTGGTGAGTGACACCAATCAAAGAGATTTCATATCCAAGTGCAAACAGTAATACTAGTTTATCGTTCTTAAGTACCTCAGGTACAAACACAACTAAGGCCTACTATCTTTCTTCGTTCCAGGTTACTTATAGCTTTTTCAACTCCTGCAAGAGTAGGAAGATTTGTCTCCGATAAGATACCAGACTGTCTAAAGGCCATTTAAACTGATACTCAAACTTTTCTGCCCATTCACCCCCTCCCCTCTACGAGTGACTCATCTTCCTCCACTATGGTCTCATCAACTAGTATTATTTTCACACACCCCTCATGATCATTGTATGGACCCTTTGCCAGTTTACTTCCAATTTACTTCCATTCTTCACCATGCAGGAATGTATCTACTTGGATCCATTAATTCAGAAGAAGCTGACTATATCCAATGATCTTTACTAACTTTCCGTTATGGGTCACGTACAGTCTTTGACACTGCTTTAACAGTAGACTGAATATAGCTTCATACTTTTTAAGGATGCGTGACATGATTGTAAAAGGGCCTATGGTACTTCTGTCTGCTCAGCCCAAAGTAACGAGACATGAATGAATCGTTTGAACCAGTTCACTTCTATGAAACGTTTTGTGATGATTTTCTGCTCTTTTATTACTGACACTATTTTTATCAAATGATTATTTTGCTCACCAACTTTCCCCTTGCGTAATCCTTCACCAGTAGCATATACCATACCAGGATCTGCAGCATGCTGACTGACAACCAAACGGAAAGGTGAACCTTGAATTGATTTATGCACTGAAGTAGATCCAAAACTCCAATCCGGATTATCGGCATCTTTAAGAGGTACTGAATGTACATGGACCAAATGAGGACCACCTTCACGTGGAATAAATCGAACTACAAATTGATCTTGATCAATTGGTTGAACAATAGCATCTTCATGAGTCCCTGAAGGAGTTGATACCTTCGCCTTTAAAATATGACCAGGAGTCACGATATGATGTACAGTGAATGCTATTGGACGTCCAATCTAAACAAATAAATATATATATCTTGCATTACTAACTTACTTCAATATAATAATGATAATTGTTAAAAGATAATGTAGTCATATTTATGTGATAACTCACTCGAAGAGTTTCTTCTTTACTAGATGTACTACGAGCAGATTGAATATCACTAGAACGAAATGGTACTGTATACGATGCTATACGACCAGTTTGTGTTGAATCAGAAACATGAATACGAAAAGGTGAGCATGGAATATGTTCATCATTGAATTTCAGTGAACAAATATATGTACCAGGCGCAGAGACACGATAAAGTACAGCAGAAGAACCATCACGTCTCTCCTTAAATAAAACATAAAGATTAGATAGTTCAATTCATATAAAAAGAAATAGTTATTCAATCATTATAATGTTATGACTAGTATGTGAAAAACTATTCATGGATATCCATCCTTTCTATAAATAATATGTCAAGAAATATATCACCAACAGTTGCCTAAACTGTCTCGATACTGAAGATCAAATCAGATGGTCAGAAAGAATAAGCAACAAGGAACTCTGGGAACGAACCAACGAAGCAAGTATCTATCAACCAACAGATATCCAAAAGAAAGTGGAGATGGATTAGGCATACACTGAGAAAACCATTCAGAGATATCACGCGCCAGGCCTTCGAGTGGAACTTTGTGAGCATTTAATACACACAGAGATGAAAATCAAGGTAGATTATTAACACAAAAATGTATCACAATCCAACTTGCCACAATTTATGGTAGTATATATAAATAATTGGTTAACAAAATTAGCATGATAATCAAAGTAGACACAAAGTTGTGCGACCAAATAAACAATTTGAAGATAACAGTTAGTACGAATATTCAAGCATGTGAAAAAGTGAATAGATGTGTGCGCCACTGTGATCGATTTTCAGCCACTTCACCAAAGCTTCTAAACCACTGACTCCTTTCGTCTCAGGAATTCCAGCCAAGTAGTCTCATCATCATCATCATCAAAATTAACATAGGATAGGGCATTACTGCGTAACACTCTGACTTGCCACACCTCATATTAGTATATCAAGTAAAATGACAGTGAAGTGGAAGATGAAGGAAATTCAGTCAAAAGAGAAATATAAAGTACATAAAGAGAGAAAGGAAGAGTAAGAAAATGGTGAGATTCGGGATAGCGTCGTTAAGATGAAGATAATGTGTGCATACATCTGCACCACTGACGTCGATTCCCAGACATATGACACCTAGACTCTCTAACCACTGGTTCCCTTTTGTCACGCCGACCCCAACCACCCAGTCTGAAATCGCCCCACATGGTTCAAATCGACAGCCGCCTCGAGCCTTTTTCCAGCCTGAACTTACTTCAGCTAACATTGTGTGAAGAGTCAGATGGAAACTAGGCATACGCAACACACCCAGCCAGTCATCTCAGTCGATGAAGGTTCATAACCTAGTCAACTGATTTATCTTTACTCCCTAAAACCCTATACCTGACTTCTGTGTTACAGTGGTCAAACACCTGAAGCCTTTTCATGTCTTCCACTTTCAATGGCCATATTTCACAGCCATACACTAGAAATGAGTGGACTGTTGTGCAGTACACGCGACCCTTAACAGATAATCGGATATTACGGTAGTGCCCCAGGTGGTGTAATTTGGCAAAAGTCAACTGAGTCTTTTGTGTCAGTGCAGGGATTTCATAGTCCACTAAGCCACCAGGGTTGATCCTGCTTCCTATTTAAGTGAAGTGGTCGACACACTCAACCACTACACTCTCTATTGTAGTTTTCATCTCTCCACATACCTCAGACTAATAATAAAACATCATCGACTGGTGGTATGTCTTGGTCTACCCATCCTGGACAATCCCGATTCCAACCTAATCCAATTTCTCCCGGCATGGCACATCAAGATAGCCGGTAAACTGGCATGTGCCCAAGCCATTTCACAATCGACTTGCTTGTCTTGCATAATACCGTTTGCCTTACTTTAACATTGCTCAAACAGGGATCGCACCAAATGTGAGGAATGCTGCGAAGTGATTTGCGACCAAAATCATGTAAGCGTTTCAAGTTTTTCTATTTTTAACCTACAACATGACAGAACAGAGTAAAGTGTCGCATACTCATCATTCGATAGATAGTCGGATATCTCGTCAGTTCACGCCAAAGATGACGTAAGTTAGCAAATGCCAAACAGACCTTCCGTATCCGAGCTGAGATTTCATCAGTAACTATACCGTTTAGGTTGATGTATTTCCACGAGTAAGTGAGGTAATCGAGATATCCCACCACTCCACTATCTATCATTGAAGTGGGAGTAGTTGTAAACTGGTTGTGGAGGGATCATTTTACATTTGACAGATGTTAGCGAAATGCACACCAGTCAAACATAGTCAGACTTCTGCTTAACGAGTTCAGAAAACCCCGAATTTTATCAGCGTCTTCACCTAGCTGGATAATGTCGTCTGCATAATGCAAACCAACTAGATGGCTACCAAAGAGTGGATAAATCCCGGTGAAGTCAGACGTTGTAATTTCGTAGGCTTTTATTTTCAGTTTAAGCCCTTTCTTTCAAAATATCCGATTATCCTTATTTCTTTCTTACTGTTTATCCATTTCAATTAGTGAAGTGTAAAGAACAACTAACTGGTCACCGCTTCATATTCTCTCTCATGTTTGTACTAGACTCTGATCACTATCATTAACGATTAGAAAGTGAGCAATTTGAGTGTCGAACAGGTGAAGTATGAGAGGTATAGATAATTTATTCAGAGGATATTTGAACAACAACAACAACATAATGTTTTAAAGCTACTTAAATATATTCCATCAAGATGGTTCTCAGCATTATTACGAAAATACAACAAAATCAAATTTATTCATCGGAGATGACACATATACACCAACACGTTAAACAACAATAAAAATTTATAACGTTGCTATAAAAAAGAATCCTTTTCAAATGGATCACTTCCAAGATAAAAGAAGATGGTAAGGGAATAATTTACTAGGCGTAAATTTATGCCAAACACTACAATTTCGCGAAAACTTCAAACACAACTATATAAATATTGTCTAATAGGGTGGTGTTGACCTCAATTTAAAGGTGAATGCAGATAGACCATATGGTAATCAGTTGTAGTAGAAGTGTTAACAAAGGATTAGCGTTTCTTCTAGAACATGAACTCGTGTACAGCAACCATGTAAATAGTTGTAAGATGGTTAAGTGTATTGACCACCTTCATATACCTTAGAATTTTGATCAACACTGATAGATCACTGACCAACGAAGTCTCTGCACAGATACAAAAAACTCAAGTGGTTTTTACCCATTTAGGGTATTATCGGAGCCGGTGATATACACTATGGGATACTGCCTAGCAGTTCGTTTCGTTCACCTATTTAGATGTAAAACATGGTCATTAAAGGTGCAGATCATGACAAAGCTTTAGGATTTCAACCACCGTTGCTTTCGTAAGATAAGCAGTGTGTCATGGAACCACCACATCGGTAACCTAGACGTCAAGCGATAAGTCGTTTGATGAGGTTGTAAGCCTTAACCAACACAAGTGGCTGAGATATGTGTTAAGCATTGCCAATCACTGTCTACCACTTCCCACAACCTTAGCTGAAGTAAGTTTAGGCTAAAATATTTACAGAAGTAACTAAGGTAAAATGACTCTATGATATCTGATTGTTGGCCTGAGTTGTGTACAGAAAGGTAGATTTACAGGTTGGAGTTTGCATGACAATGGAAATTAGTGGTTGAAAGCTCTAGGTGAAATGGCTCAGAATCGGTTTCAGTGCCGTAGGTAGATCCACATATATTCTTTATCTCGAATAACATAATGAGGTCCCATTGAAAAAAGCAAGAAGACAGCTATGAAGTAGGCAAAGTTCATAGTCAACCAGTTGGAAAGTAGTCGTTAAATATGGTACACCTTGCACTAAAACCGTCATTTGCAAAATGTGCTTCGTTTCTTCCTCTGCTTCTCTTTTGATTTGCTCTTCATATGTCTGCCTTGTCTCCTGCATTTCTCTTGGCGGAATCTTTACCCACTGCTGATAATTCTCTATGATGTCTGCCACCCTCTCAACATATACTACTTATATCCTTTCTTATCAGCAACGCCCACTACACCATGTTTATTTTCAATAACTGGAGAACTACTCATTCTATTGGGTTTAGAGTAAATGAAAAATGCATTTTTTCATTACTTCATGAGCACTTCTTTCCTGCGTAATGCGTATATCAGTCTTACATAACAATATGAACAAGACAAATGAGTAGAACATAGTACATAGGTATTCAGTAGAACCTGATGCATCGAAACTCATTGAAAAAAGAAATTTTATCTGAAAACCGAAATAGCATTAAGAAAGTTCTCATGAAAAAACAAACAAACATAATTTCACATACATCACAATCAATCTCTGCTTTGCTAGGACCTTCCATTGCAATTGACAATGTGCCAGCACCAGCTTCACGTGTATATATAAAAAACTCGTTGGTAACATGTGTCCAACCTTCTTGAAGAGCAGGGCCTATTGCTCTAACCTTGTTAGCTACACCATCTGTAATTGGACCGACTGTGAAGTGGAAGGGACTTCCTAGACGTACAATAAAATAACAGGATATAATGCGTAAATATATTTAAAAATAAAATAACATTGAACTAGACTGATCTACTGACAGTATGCATGGAATTAACATAAGAATATATGTGCAAAGTTTAAATGTTTTAAAGTAAACCATCATAGCAACACGACCTACTTTCGCTTTGAGCTGACTAACTATAATAACATAGTGGAATTAAAAGCGACCAGTTGTTTAGCACGTTTTATACACGTAGAAAACGCAGAAAAACTTAATGAAGCGAAGAGTTTTATAAGTTATTATTTCAAATTGAACGCGCTCAGCAACCTTGTACATATTCATGCAACAGGCAATGAGCCACACCTAATATGTGAAGGCTAGTAACACTAACTGGCTGTTCAAACCTTGATAGGTGAAGCGGTGTCTGAACCTGTGAACTTCATTCCTTGAAAATTATCATCCTAAACCGATGAATCATACAGTTCCAAAGTATTTCGAAAACCCCTGAACAATAATCAACAAGCGATAAGGACTGAACAAATTCAAAAAATTATTTGTATTAGGTAGCATATTGAAAATTGAATAAAAGTGCGCCACTTCACCGGAATTTCAGCTAAACTGTAAACATCAGAGTTCAAAACAGGAAATATGAGCTTACAAAGAACTAAGAAATGTACTAAGATAAAATAAAAAACAATTTTTCGTATGAATTTTTCAAATACCGACATCGCTTTCCTAATAACGTCACAATGGGATTTGAGTAAATTTAACTTGCGCTTCACAATGAATAAATGTCATGTTACAATCTAAGCAAAATGCAGCCTCAATAATTAATGCAGATCATAAAATTACTAGTAAATAGGGTATACAAGTCGTTATAAAGCATTGCGGAAACACTGCTGAAGATCTGTGTCTGCATGAACAAACAAGATAGCAGTATCAATTGTTGATACTTGTAATCTTCCATTATTACGCTGAATCGAATCGCTATACTGCTATTGGCAGATGACCCCTTCTATGCGAATACCTCGATATTGCGAGTATTTTTCCAAATTTGATATTAATGACGGATAGTGGCTAGCAATGGAATCTAGGATGCGCATATCGCCCTATTTGGAACTAGTCAGCCGGATGTATCTGCTTCTCAGTGGATGATGTTGCTCCAAATCAGACTCGAGCCCGATAGCTTCAAACGCCAGAGTGTTATGCGCTAGACCAATGAGTCTAACTCATTAATATCGAAACTTATCTATACTGTAATAGAAATGAATTTATTAATCAAACTGAAAGAATGAAGGCAAGTGTATTTTGTATGACTTTGTTCAATATTATGTTAAGCGAATTATCTGCACCCGATTTGCAACTAGGAAACTTCAAGAATTCTAATACGAACGTATGGAATACATGATTCATATGCTTCACCATTTATTATTATTATTATTGTTACTAGCACACTTTTTAACAGCAGAAGATAGGAGGAAGTTACAGTACGACAGTCATTGGTTTCGATTGAGTCATATCTGATAACGTCTCAAGCCACTGAGTTGTGTGGTCTCTCAGGCCTCAATTAGGGAGTCTTGGTGCACCAACACATGTCAACCAGATACAACTATCCCTTATCCAACGGTGCTACGTCATACATTGACCACCCTTCCACTTCTTCTATCCAGTTCCAGGGTTAGCAAACAATGAACAGTGTGGAAGCTGTTGGGATAACATGCGTAACACTTGCCCGAGCCACTGAAGCTGGTGTTTTAAGATGACTTTACTTATTGAATGACGATTTCCATCATGCCCAAACACACGTTGTCGCACCTGAGAATTACTTACATGGTGTTGCAACCCGGTGGAGACAACAATGACTGAACACACAGAGTCGTCGTATATCTTCACCTTGGAAAGGCCAGGCTTCATAGACGCATATTAGAACTGTTAGTACCGAAACGTTGTAAATCAGACCTTTTACGGTTAGAGTAACGTCACAATGGGGCAAAAGGTGGTCCAGGTTGGCTTACGCCACTCTGGCTTTCGACATGCAGTAAGAAATTTCATCAATCAAACTACACATATACACAGACTTTTCGACTACTTTCAATGGTTCACCACCGAAAGTGAAATCATTCACAGGCTGCTACTAATCTCATAAAACTGCTTCGCACTTCGATGGTGTAAAGCACATACCATACTTAATCGACATTAATCACCAACTGATTAAGTGCAATTTGAGTAGCCTATGTGTTATCGCACAGTAAGACGATATCATCCGTATATTCAAGGTCGAATAGATGTTCTCCGGATGGTAGATGTACACGATCATCGCGCACCTACTTCAGAACTGTGTCATCGATGACACTATAAGGGGCTGAGTGTTGATACTGTACAATCTAGAATTACAATGTTTACTGTTCTATTCACTATAGTTACAACACTGTGGATATCAGTTATTAGTAAAAACCGATTACAACACATAGCTGATTTGAACAATATACTGAAGGGTAGAGATATGAACAGAAAGCTTTCATCAATTAACTGTATGAGGGACAAACATGATACAATACCGAAATGAGTAAGTGTAAAAAAGAAAAAACAACAACAACAACAACACGGAAATTACCTGATATTTGAATTCCCTTATGTTTAACAGTAACTAAATGTTCACCCATTTCTTGTGGTATAAACTTAATATTATAATGTTCATTGTCAATAGGTATCACGTCACAACGAGTAGTATGACCTGATGGAGATGTAACTGATGCAGACAAATCACTTGGATTTGTATCTGTCAAGAATTATTGAAGAAAAAAAATTTTTTTTGGTAAGATATTCGATAATAAATAATCATTATTTTATTATTATTATTATTGTGATAAACAAACCTGAAACACGTAGACTCAATTCACATCGACTTCCAATATGTGTAACTTTTGAAGCTTCACGTCGTCTAGTAATTCGTTCAACCATTTTCACTGAAGGTTCTCCACCGATTTCAACACAGAATGGACTATTTGGTACATGAACATCAGCATATTTCACATTGATAACATATTGACCAGGTTCAGTTGGAGTATATATTACAGTACATGTACCATCATGATTATCATGACATTCAATGTCTGCATTACTTGGTCCTTCAATAGAAAGGCTAAGTCCAGCATAACCTAGAAAATTTAGAATATAGCACATTCAAACATATATATCGAATAAAGGTTAATGTTTAGAAAATAAATTTAAAACTCTACATATATAACTTCTTAAAATTACAATTACAAACAAAATACTAAACACTTCAAGTATAGATGAAGATTGTGTGCAGATAATAGATATTGTTGTACCCATCTTTAGGAAGGACCAACTTTATGTAACAGCAATTGATGTATCGGTCTGCTACTAGTTGCAGTAAAACCACCGACTGGAGTCATACTTCACGTGCTCTACAAAATGTATCCACCAAGTAGGGATTTTCTTCAAGTCGAGGATTCATTGAAGGCATGTGATAGCCGTGTACACTTTCGACAGTGAGAAAGCAAACGACATCGTCATACGCTAAGACTATACAGGCTATTAGTATCGTACTTTATCAGTACGTGTTCAGTAACCATAAGCATGGTATGTGCTTTGTCGAGACTAAAGGTGGTTTCACGAGATTGGCAGGAGTTTGTGCTTGTACTTGTAATTGGAAGAAAGTGATGCGATCTCTAAACAAATATCGAGTGAAAGTAGCATACGTCAATCCAGGTCACCTTAGGCACTATCATGAGGTTAACCTGACTGCAAAACGTCAGGTGTACAACTCATCAGCAGGAGCAGTCTTGTTAATCACAAGCCTGTAAAACCTGGCCTTTTTTGAGTTGAGGGTGTTCAATGACTACAGACTCGATAAGTATTATCTAAATAAGATTGCTAACATCATTTGAATAATCCCAAAGGGGAGTGCTCTTTAATGTGGACAACCGCATATCCAACTAAATCATACGTGTAACAAATGTATTTTCAGTAGATCCCATTTAGTTCACTGTTTGACAGGCAGGAGACTGACTGGAAGAAGCAGAGGCAGTCAGTGTATGACATGGTAAAGTGGGAATGAATAACAGTTGCAAAAGGTTAGCATGTGTTGACTAACTGAACGGTGTTCAAGAGTTTGTGCAACTCAGCAGCAGTTATAACCCAGAATCACAGCCAATGGTGTTTACTCTGTAACTTTCTCTGTCACGGTTTCAAGAAAGTCTGTATTTATAAAGTTGCCCTTTTAATACATTACAACCGTATAAGCCGATTCGAATGTACTTATGGGGCAAATACATAGGCCGTACGAGAAGGCGTGTGTCTACTCGTATGCATAAGCGTTTACCTGAATGGTCAAGGAAAGCTGAATCCAAAATCCCAAAGAATTTTATTATGAAGCAGCTATCGGATTAGCGATAAGACATTGACGCTAGTAAGGTGTTCTTCATTCGCAGCAGACAAGGGAATAAGAAAAATGCTTGTGATCGTGGAAACATTTGCGATTACAGTTTGTAAACCGAGTCTATGTGTACAGAAACAGAAGAGGCGGCGAAGATGGGACTTCAAGTGAAGACAGAGGTGATGAAGATACCCAACCAACGACAACAACAAGCTCCGATCCTCATAAATGGGAGAAACATAAAGGAAGTAGCCTTTTCCACCTACCTAGGCAGCACTGTTTCAACTACAGGCGGCATAGACGTCAAAGCCAGCCAGGATCGGGAAGACAGCAAGACAGGCCTTCATTAACCTCAATACAGTGTGGAGATCTTTTGCACTCACTATAAAGCGTCAACAACATCCGGATTTTCAACACCAATGCCAGTCAAGTCAGTGCTTCTGTATGGCTCAGAGACTTGGCGCGTTACGAAAGGGATTTCCAACAAATTATAGATATTCATCAACAACGGCCTACGCTCACTCGATACTGTAGCTCAACTCAGAATGATAAGAATAAGCTACAAGGAACACTGACTGGCAACGAACCAAACAAGAACCTATCGCTCAACAAATATGCAGTGGAAGGAAGTGGAGATGGATTGGGCATAACACTGAGAAGACCATCCGAAGACATCATGTGCCAGGCACTCGAGTGGAACTCAGATGAGAAACGACGAGTTGGGCACACCGGCTGGGAGTGACATGGAGGAGATGGTGTGAGGAAGAAATGAAAGTTTGTGGGCAGTCGTGGGACCAGGTTCAAAGGATTGCAGAAAACAGAGTGGAGTGGAGACGTGCCACAGAAGCCTTATGTTCCACTAGGAACCCCAAGGGATAAATAAATATGATAAATAATAATGTGCACAGAAAGAGATGGTAGTGCCCTGAATATATTTATTTATTTTCATTAGTGTTTTGTTTTGACATTGTCTTACTTCCTCTTCTCTTTACTCTCCTTATTCTGTTGCGCTGACATTTTCTCTTGAACGTTTTCGTTTAATAGTTGAATCATTTGTCTTTATCGCCATTAGTAGCGACAACTCTAGCGTTCTCTAGTTTCACTGTTATCAAGCTTCTTAATTAATTTTCACATTCATCCTATTCAAAATGACGTCATTTTTGCACGTTTCAATATTCATACTGAGTGATGATTGAAGATGAAATGAAAATTTGGATCAGGGACAGATTCGAACCAGTGACCAGCAAGTTTCCTACCCTATGCTCAACTAACTGAGTAACGAAGCCCAATTGGTGGTCAGATTTTGATTTCACTTCAATCATCATGAGTTTTATCCGACTACAATGTGAATTTGTGATGCATTACTACAGCTGGATTGTATACACAATCCAAACTAGAGAGGATGAGCAGCATTATATTATCATTTTAACTATCATAATCAAAATGATTAGGTGTTGTGTTCAAAATGATGTAATTCATGTCTAGTCTTTTTATTCCTCATTGCCAATTTCCAACCCCCCCCCCTCCAACTTATTCACCGTCAGTTTACAGAAAGCCTATATGGACAGGATAATACCTGAATTTTCAGTTTTTGTCCGATCCAATACAAGCGAGGTCTAGTAAAATGCCTGTTTAATAGGATCTATCGTATCAGTACACCAGATGTGATGGATTATTATTATTATATTATTAGTCCCTTGGGTTCCTAGTGGAACATAGGGCTTCAGTAGCACGCCTCCAGTGACCTCTGTTCTCTGAGATCTTTTGAACCTGGTTCCACGACAGCCCACAAGCTCTCATTTCCTCCTCGCACGACCTCCTCCATGTCACCCTTGGACGTCCAACTCGTCGCTTCCCATGGGGATTCCACTCGAGCAACTGGCCTGACGCGTGATGTCCTCAGTCGGCCTTCTCAGTACATGGCCAATCCATCTCCACTTCTTCCTGCATATTTGTTGAGCGACAGGTTCTTGGTTGGTTCGTTCCCAGAGTTCCTTGTTGCTTATTCTTTCTGGCCATCTGATCTTCAGTAGCGAGCCAGCGTAAGCAGTTGTTGATGAATGTCTGTAGTTTATTGGAAATACCTTTCGTGACGCGCCAAGTCTCTGAGCCATACAAGAGCACTGACTTGACGTTGGTGTTGAAAATCCGTATCTTGTTCCGCATGCTGAGTGCAGAAGATCTCCACACTGGTTTCAGGCTAATGAACGCCTGTCTTGCTTTTCTGATTCTGACTTTGACGTCTTCGTCCGTCCCGCCTGTAGTTGAAACAGTGCTTCCTAGATAAGTGAAGGAGGTTACTTCCTTTAAGTTTCTCCCGTTGACGGTGATTGGAGTTTGTTGTTGTTGTTGATGGTGGTGGTGCGGTATCTTCATCACTTCTGTCTTCTCTATATTCACCTGAAGTCCCGTCTTCGCTGCCTCTTCTATCAACTTGTTAGTTTTTGCCTGCAGATCTTCAAGTTTATGTGACATTAGGCATAAGTCATCGGCGAAATCCAAGTCTTCTAGGTTCTTTTCCGTCGTCCAGTGTATCCCCCTCTTCTCGCTGCCTACTGTTTGCTGCATGATCCAGTCCACCACAATCAAGAATATCATGGGGGATAGTAGGCAACCTTGTTTCACTCCTCTCTTCACTTCAAAGGCATCACTGAGCTTCCCATTGTGGATTACTTGGCATGTAGCATCTTCATATAGTTGTTGAATGAGGCGGATAAAGGTTTGCGGTACTCCGTAGTATTGAAGCAGTTTCCAAATTACTTCTCGGTCGACGCTGTCAAAGGCCTTCTCAAAGTCGATGAAGTTGAGGTGGAGAGGTGATTGCCATTCTATGCTCTGTTCTATGATGATACGAAGCGTTGCAATTTGGTCTGCACATGATTTGTACTTCCTGAAGCCTGCCTGTTCCGGTCGTAGTTTTGAATCCAGTGCATCCTTTAGCCTCTCCAGGATGATGCGGCTTAATATTTTACTTGGGGTGGACAGGAGAGTGATTCCGCGCCAGTTCTTGCAAGCACTGAGGTCTCCCTTCTTCGGCAGTTTGACAAGGTAACCCTTCTTCCAATCATGGCCAGGTACCTTCTCTTCCTTCCACACCTTCTGCAATAGTGGTGTGAGCATGTCCGCTGTTGTCTCTGCATCTGTTTTCAGTGCTTCTGGCGGTATTCCATCTGGTCCTGCTGCTTTCCCGCATTTCAGTAGCTTTATGGCGTTCAGGACTTCCATTTTCGTTGGGGGATTAATGTTCACTTGTAATTCAGCGGCTGCAGGTGGTATTTCTGGACGAAGTGCAGGTGGTGGTCGATTCAAGAGCTTCTTGAAGTGGTCGGCCCATCGTTTCCTCTGTTTCTCTTCTTTTGTAATTAAATTTCCTTCTTCATCTTTTATTGGTTTCATCTGTGTTGGTCTCTCCCCTGATAGCAACCTGGTTATTTGATACAATGTCGTCAGGTCTCTCTTACCTGCAGCCTGTTCTGCTTCACTTGCCAGTGTTTCGTAGAAGTGTCTTTTGTCTTTGCGTGCACTCTTCTTCACTTCTTTGTCCAGTGTTTTATACATTGTGCTCAGTTCCTCTTGTCGTTGAGCATCCTTGCACTGGTTTATCTTCTGCTTCACCATCCTCCTCTCCTCTATCAGCTTCCAGGTATCCGTCGAGATCCATTCCTTGTCTTCTTTCTTCTTCCTTCCTAATACTGTTGTGCAGGTTTCTTTCCACATAGCTTTCAAAGACTTCCAGTGTTCTTCCACACAGGTTTCTTCAGGGATGTTGCTCGATGTCTCCCATTTTGTCTTGATGGCTGACGTGAAGATCTCCTTTGTAGTTTCATCCTTCAGTTTCCGAGTGTTGTACTTGAACTGAGGTCTATCACCAGCTTCCTTGAAGGCTTTTAACTTGATTTAGAAGGTTCCTTGCACTAGGTAGTGGTCTGAACCTACATCTGCTCCTCTTCTTCACCTTGTGTTAAGTAGACTGCGTCTCCATTTTCTTGAGATTGAGATAAAGTCGATTTGATTTTAGTGTGTCCATCTGGTGAAATCCATGTCGCTTTGTGGATATCCTTGTGCCTGAACACACTGCCTCCAATCACCAAATCGTTGAATGCGCAGAATTCTGCAAACAATTCTCCATTCTCATTCATTTCACCTAGCGCTTCTCGACCCATGGTTAGTTCTCTTCCCGTGTTGTCTCCTCCCAGTTTGGCATTCATGTCGCCCATCAGAATTTTGATATCGCCAACTGACGTCTTGTCCAGTGTTGATTGAAGTTGTCTGTAGAAATCCTCCTTTTTCTCTTGCTCTGCATTATTTGTAGGTGCATAGCATTGTATGATTGTGACCTTTCTTCCTTTTGAGTTGAATCTTGCTGTCATGATCCTGGAGGAGATTGGTTCCCACTGCATGAGAGCCTTCGATGCTCTTGAGGACATCATGATAGCCACTCCATAACTCAGTGTGCTCGTGGTTGGCGTCTGGGTGACCGGAGTAGATTATTGATTCTCCAGTTGACAGTTTGGAGAGTCCACTACCATTCCATCTGCTTTCGCAAATCCCAAGCACTTCGATGTGATACCTTCTCATCTCCTTTGCAATCTGGGCTGCCTTACTGGGTTCAAACATCGTGCGGACATTCCATGTCCCCACGTTTACTTTCGCTTTCATCGAGAGAAGACACATCGGCCAATTGGCTTCCGGAAGGCTTTCACCAACTGGCGTCATTTCGCCTCTCCGATTCCAGCGGGGAATAAGTTTGTTTTCATTTTTTATATTTTGTTTGTGCTTTGAAGTTTCTTTAGCGGTTAGATTTGTTTTACGGGGTAGGGTTGCTAGCCCTATGCCCAACCTTCCCTCTTTACCCGGGCTCAGGACCGGCTAGTAACTAGTAAACTAGTTAACCAGGCGAGGTTGATGTGATGGATGAAGACATCAAATTATTTACCAAAGCACTTATGGAAAATGGATATCCAATGAACTTTATAAACCGTTGTAAAGGTCAAGTAGCACAAAAGCCAACTCTATACACGGTCCTTAAGAAAAATGTCCATATCACTCTACCGTACAGAGAGGAGTTGAATAGTATCATTTTCAGACGAATCTTATCATTCTAGAGAAAACAAAACACATGCTTCCCCACAAACCTAAACACTGCATCAGTGATTACGTCAAATCCCATTGTGTTTACCAGTTTACATGTGTGTGTGGTCACATATACATAGGGAAGAGTAATGGAGTCATACAGTTGACGGTGGGAGAACATATACCTAAATTGCTTCAAAAACAAATGGAGTGTGAAACAGTGATAAGTGATGGTAGCAGACGACCCTCTTCATCTATAGCTAAACATATCATAGAAATAGGTCACAAAGTCAATGTTCAAACAGCTTTCAAAGTCTCATATAGAAACAGTCAGGGAGGCATACTGAGATTCGTGGAAGCCACAGCCACCTTTATATGTACGGAAACAATTTGTTCGTGTACACTACACCTACCTTGCTTGGTAAACTTTGTTTTCTTATCAAGATTAGGATTAACTATGTCACTCTTTTTCCTGTTTGTTCTCATCTTTGTTAATTTTCATCCCGTATTGTGTTAACTGTTGTAATTGTCCCCCCTCCCAGTCCTCGGTTCAATATGTAAATTGACGTGACAAGTAAATGGTGTAAGGGATCAGATTGTTCGAAATGTATTGCGCGGATACATCTCATTGTTCAGATAAACTTTATCTTCTAATTACGCTATCGACATTCACTGTTCTGTTTGACCTAGTTATATTATTTACTCTTGCCTTATTTAATGTCTTAGTCTTTGTGTATGTTTACCTGCATTGCATCGGACGACTTTTAAGTTCACCTTACTAACAGTTGAAATGAACAATAAGGCCTCTTTATTTCAGTTGTTGCTTAGGCTGATTGTCAAAGTCACTCGAAAATTCATGTATGCAAAGTTTAAAACAAAAAAAAAACAGCTGACGAGCTCAACTGAAATTTATGAATTCAGTCAATCACTCCTTAATCATGTTCGGTGCTTTTTTTGTGAAATATGAGTTAATTAAAGCATAATTATAATTCACTTGTTACCTGCATCTCGTGTATCCACAGTGAATTGATTCGGTTTATTAGATAAACCAGATATTAAACCAGGTCCACTAACACGTACTCTTCGAGGATCACCAATTTCTTTTTCAGAAACACGAATTCGAAAAGGACTATTAGCAATATGTTTTCCAGCTTGAAATACACTAACTAAATGTTCACCAACTTCTTTAGGTGTGAATGAAATGCCTAAAGTAGAATTTCAATGGAAAAAAAACAAACAAAAAGTAAATATGAAAAAGTATACAAAATGCGAAGAGTTACAGAAATATTGGCAGTATCTTATGGATAGTGCTCATAAGAAGGTAAGTAAGTAAGTAAGTAAGTAAGTAAGTAAGTAAGTAAGTAAGTAAGTAAGTAAGTAAGTAAGTAAGTAAGTAAGTAAGTAAGTAAGTAAGTAAGTAAGTAAGTAAGTAAGTAAGTAAGTAAGTAAGTAAGTAAGTAAGTAAGTAAGTAAGTAAGTAAGTAAGTAAGTAAGTAAGTAAGTAAGTAAGTAAGTAAGTAAGTAAGTAAGTAAGTAAGTAAGTAAGTAAGTAAGTAAGTAAGTAAGTAAGTAAGTAAGTAAGTAAGTAAGTAAGTAAGTAAGTAAGTAAGTAAGTAAGTAAGTAAGTAAGTAAGTAAGTAAGTAAGTAAGTAAGTAAGTAAGTAAGTAAGTAAGTAAGTAAGTAAGTAAGTAAGTAAGTAAGTAAGTAAGTAAGTAAGTAAGTAAGTAAGTAAGTAAGTAAGTAAGTAAGTAAGTAAGTAAGTAAGTAAGTAAGTAAGTAAGTAAGTAAGTAAGTAAGTAAGTAAGTAAGTAAAGTAGGTAAGTAAGTAAGAGGTAAATGTTTTTATTTACTTATTCTGTTCAGTTTTATTTGAAAATGATACTCATCACGAATTGATATCACAATTGTAGAAACATTCAACATCTAACAGAAGTCGATAGCTATTTCATCTTTAGCAGTGTTCACTCACAACTTATCAAGGGATTGAATCTTGAACTTTTAAGTTTCCCTATGATTAGATTAGACAATACGATGAACTAAACAATTTTCCAATCTATGATAGTGTTATAGTTGTTAACTATTTCTCGAAAGGAGCTTGGTACCAGACCTTCTATATGAAATGCTGCAAGTATTTATTTCAAGTACTTTGTGTCATTTTCAACAAGGAATCAGTTAATACTGACAAGACCATGAATAACTCTGATACATCCTGAAATAGATCAGATAAATAACTTTATCCTTCCAATGAGATTTACTCAGTACTAAATCATTTCACACACTTATCTCTATAACTTTGTAATTTTCTAAACATATTATTTCACCTACTCTTCATAGGCAATTATAAGACAAAAGTATCGATGAATCAAAGTATTTTATTCACTAAGTTCCGTTTAATGAATTGAATTTTAAGAAAATACACATACCTAATCGATTATTAGGTAAACTTTTCAGTACACAGGGTTCTTCTCGACCAGATGCACTGTGAACAGTAGCAGTTAATGTGGCAATATCTTCATCGACCGCTTCTAGAGCAATATCACTTGGAGCACCCATACTTACTTGAGAACGTTTACAGATATCACCTTTAGATAAATGAAAAATGCCGAAAGAAATATACAATTTCCGTTAAAAAAGTATGTTAACTGATTAAATCTGATAATGAGATTATCAGTATGTGAGAAATGTTAAGGTTAGGCGAAAGGTAATATGCAAAACAAGCAAGTGAATTCAGTAGATTGTAAACTTTCATCGATTGACATGGCTTGCATATATACTGTGCATGCCAAGCCACAGGTTACCTCTACATTTCATGCTAGGGGGAAGATGGATTACCTTGACAGAAAGTTAAGGATGGCCAGACGTAGTATCAATCCATCAAGTTCCTGACTGATGGTATGAGACATGTGGGGGAGATGTAGACTGTCTGATTAGAGACGTCCAGATGATAAGAATCATCAGGTGACAACTCTTGGTGGCATAGCTTAAAATCGGTTACAATCGCACAGATGTATTCATCTATTGATATCTACTAAAGCTTGAATATCTGAACTTGTCATTATTTTCAAATTGCTTGTCCTCTCATACAACTTTTTCTACCTTGATAACAACCTTCTATCTACCTGTTCTATGTACACTACTGTGAAGTGTGCCAACTGGAGCCAATGGAGTTGTGTGCAAAGTTCTATGTTGATTTTGTCTGTCTGTTTGCAAATTTAACATAGTTAACAGAAAAATAGGTGATAGAAGCAAGAAAAATAAAATACACCTTCATCTATAACAATGATGTTAAGAAGTGCCCAACACAAAAAATGAATTTTGTTTGAAGATATCTGAAAATTGTCATCCAGTCAAGAAAAAAACTTTAGGGAAGAAATTTACATTCAGCGATGTCATTATCAAAAGAGTTGAACTGTTGAAAGGTGCTTTATTTTTTTTCGAAAAAATTGAATATTCTCATCACGTCAACCACCACTACTGGCTGTTTCAATGTGTATGTATATATTACTTCACCTGATGCTGCATAGCTAAGTACGTAGACCGTATGCATTAACAGATTGCCCAACGTCGACGTGAACACTACACATGGTTCAGATCAAACGTTCTAACACAATATACATACAAATCATACCACGCATGTCTGCAGTTTGTTGGAAATGCTTTTCATAACACGCCAACTCTCTCAACCATCACATAGAAACAAACACTCACTTGACTCACATTAATGTTGGAAATGACCATTTTCTTCCACATGTTGAGTGCAATGCCGTGCACTGCAGTCCACTGCAGTAGATCTCCACACTGATTTCACATTATTGAAGGCATGTCTTGCTTTTCCAATCCTGGTTTTCACATCCTCATCTGTGCCGCCGCCACCGCCTGTAGGCAGGTACGTAGGTACGCAGGTATAAGAGACAACTTCCTTTACATTTCTCCCGTCCATGCTGATTGGTGCCTGTTGTTGTTGTTGGTTGGGTATCTTCATCACCTCTGTCTTCTCTACCTTTGCTTGAAGGAGGTCCTGTCTTCGCTGCCTAGCCTCCCCTCTTCTGCAACTTGTTAATTTTCCCCTGTACATCGTCAAGCTTGTGCGACATAACACATTAGACATAAATCATCATCGTTGGCGAAATCCAAATCTTTTAGGCTCTTTACATCGGTCAACCAACCTATGCCTATCTTTTCGATTCTCACCGTTTCTTGCACAATCGAATCCACCACAATCAAGATCATCAGTGATGATAGTAGGCAATCTTATCTTACGCCTTCTGTCTTCACTTTGAAGGCATCACTCAGCTTTCTATTATGAATCACTTCGCATTTAGCATCATATTGCATATAGCCATTGAGCGAGTTTGATAAAGGTTTGTGGCACTAAAACCATGGTGTTGAAGCACTTGCCAGATTACTTCTCCGTCGACGCTATTGAAGGCCTTTTCAAAATTGACGAAGTTGTCTTAGAGAGTTGACTGTCATTTTATGCTCTGTTCTATGGTAATGCGTAGTGTAGCGTTGCAATTTGATCCACACATGATTTCAACTTCCTGAACCCAGCCTGTTCCGGTGGTAATTTTGAATGCAGAGCATGTTTTAGTCTTGGCAGGATGATGCGGCTTAATGTTTTGCTTGGTGTGGACACGATCATGATTCCTCGCCAATTCTTGTAAAGGCTTAGGTCTCCCTTCTGTGGAGTTTGACAAGGTAGCCTCCCTTCTTCTAATCTGCAAGCACCTTTCCTTCCTTCCAAAGCTTCTGCAATAGTGGTATATGTCTGCTGTTGTTTCTGCGTGTTTTCAGTGCTTCTGGTGGAATTTCATATAGTCCTGCTGATTTACCGGAGGATTTCAATAGTTTTATGGCATTCAGGACTGCATTTCTGCTTTAGTCGGAGGGCTTGTGTTTACTGATAGTTCTGCGGTTGCTGGTGGTATTTCTGGACGAGTCGCAGGGGGTGGTCGATTCAAGAGTTTTTTTTGAAGTGGTCGATCAATTGTTCCCTTTCTTTCCGCTCTTTGGTAACTAGGTTTCCTTCACTATCTTTCATTGGTTTCATTTGAGTTGTGTTGATCTCTTCGTAGATAGTAACCTGGTTATTTGATATAGTGTTGTCAGGTCTCTCTTACCATCACAGCCTGTTTTGCTTCACTTGCAAGTGTTTCGTAGAAGTTCCTTTTGTCTTTCTGCGCACTCTTTATTAGAAGTATGTATTTGAAAGCAAGTTTTCTATTCACTTTACTCATTCAAACAGTAAATTCTTAAGTCAAACTGATACTGCTTGCATTTAGAATGATAGATTGCTACATATTCAGGCTTTTTTTTTCTACCAATCAATGTGCACACTAATTAGTCACTAAAATAACTCGTTCCAAATGTTAAGATAGAAAAATGAATACATGTTGAAAAATGTGAACACTGTTAATTGGTGTTAATTTCATAATTCTAGAAATAGTAATGCTTATATGCAAGAACTAAAACAGATAGATCAAAATAGAAATTGACACAGAAGCGTACAAGTTCAAGGTGCCGTGCTTCATAGTAGTATACAAAGAATAGGTAGACAGAAAAATGAATGATATCAAGGTAGACACAACGTTGTGTAAGAGAATGAATAGTTTCAAGATGTCAAGGAGTGAATATATCTGCACCATTGTGACCAGTTTTCAGCCATGTCACCGATAGTCCTCAACTACTCACTCCTATAATCTCGACGACTCCAGCCAGGTAGTCCACATCTCACATTCTTGAGATCAATAGTTGGAGACTTTATCGACTGGCGCCACATGCTGGTCTGGCTATCCTACCCCCTTCCAACTTAATCCAGGTCTCTCTAGCATGCCACTTCGATATAGGTAGTGGCTCAGCATGCGCGATCAATGCTACGAAGACGTCTGTAACCAAAACCCTGAAATCAGTTCATGTCTTCTACTTTCAACGGCCACGTCTCATAGGCGTATAACAGGATAGAACGAACTGTAGTGCAGTATACTCATCCTTTGATAGAAAGTCGAAAATCTCGCCAGTTGGCGCCACAGGTGATGCAAGTTGGTTAATGCCAAACGGGCCTTCAGTATCCAAACTGAAATTTTGTCAGCAACCAGCCCGTTCAGGCTGTTGCAACTCACCAAGTAAGTGAAGTGGTCGACACATTCCACTGCTTCACTCCCTATCATTAAACTGGGAGTTCTTGCAGCACACTATTCCTAGAGCATTATCTTACATTTGACAGGAAAGCATGTCAAACATGCTCCGTTTTCTGCTCAACGCGTCCAGAATAACCTGCATTTTGTCAGCGTCTTCATCTAGCAGGACAATATTGTTTGCATATTCCAAGTCAACCACAGAGTAGATCAATCCCTGTGTCCATTCGTAGACCATAGCAGCATGCAGACAAAAGGTGATGAGTAAAAGAATGACGTAGGAGTAGATTAAAGTATATAAGAGGAGATTGAATAAGTGGATAAAGGCAAATAAAAGTATTTGAGACATTGCAGATGATAACCAACGTATATACATCTCCATTATGACAGATTTCGAGGCATATCACAAAGAATTTCCAATCACTAGTTCTTAAGAACTTGAGAGCCTCAGACACAACGACAAATATGAAGTAATAATATGAGAAGTAATTTGAAAAGAACTCAGTAAATAGATTGAAGAAACAAAAGCAAACTTTTCCTAAAGATAATTTTCATAAACGCCATTTTTTAATAGAAGTTACTACGTATGAAAACTATCAATGTACTAGCTCAGATATGAATGCTATCCAACTCTGGATGCACCTGAAGCTGTCTACCAGTTAATTGTAAAGTGACTAGCAGTTGCTGTAGACCATGAGAACGAAGACAAGCGACCAGATTACTTGTCTACGACGCCTTTGAATCTGCTGTGAAGCTATAGCTCATTACTTTAAGAAGTTGACTTTTAAGCTGTGGATCGCGGGTTCAAACAGCTCTACTTACAGAGGCATGGGTGGCTAGGTAGTAGTATGATTATTCTTCACACAATAAAGTGTGGTTGATTGCCTAGTACACGAATATGCACCTTGATTCCATTTGAATCTGCTTACCTGATAACATACACAGACTTATCTCAGAGATGTAGGATAGTAAGTGACGTTGAGTTGATTATCACGCTAATAATTCGCTAACAGAAATGAAATGTATGGGACATAACGACTTAGACACTAAAATACAAAATGCATTCAAAAACACCTGTTGGAGGTGGGTTTAAAATATGAAAGCTCCGGAGAGCTGTTGTATCCTAATTTACGACTCCTTAGCGGGGTAGACTACTCATGAACCTGGGGGATCTAGTCCAGGATCGTAAGACTCAATGATAACGAACTACCTCACCTTATGTAACTAAGCTCTAGCACAGGTTGTGAAGCATATATTGTGCCATAGAACCTAGTATACGTATATGTTGCACGAGATTGCTTAAATTCACTATGCGGGGGAATTATTCTACAATTACCCAATTTAGTTGACGCACAGTCATCTTGAAACACCGGTTACGGTTGCTTGAACATGTTACGAATGTCACTTCAGTAGCTTCGAAACAGTTCACTGTTTGATAACCGTGATACTGATTGGAAGAAGTAAAGGTAGTCACTGTATAGCATGGTACTGTGAAGATGAATAACAATTGTGGAAGGTCAGCCTAGCGACTACCTAATTGGGGTCCGAGAGATCACGCAACTCAGCAACTTAAGATTATAAGTGGTGCATTGCAAAATAAACAACAGTGGTGTTAATAATCTAATTATTTTATGTATCGTTTATTTGCATAGAGTAATAAAAATCCAAAACATTTGAACTGAATTGATTGCCTGATCATAACCATTTTGTTCTAGATTTCACAGTATTTCTAGATTAGATTGCATGGCATACTTTTTCGCACTCATTTTGTACCAAGTTTGCAGTGAAACTGTGGTTCAGTGACTTACGGAGATGACTATCAGCCATCAGGTCACAGGTTCAAGCTCCGCTCCACCTACCGAAGTTCAAGTAACCAGGTAGTATTGTAGTGGGGGTTACTGATCAAAATAGATATAAGTAGCATATGTTGAGAGGGTGGCAGAAATCATAGGGGATTACTAGCAATGGGTAAGGGTTCTGTCAAGAGAAATGCTGACGTACGAAGAGCAAGTCGAGAAAGAAGCAGAAGAGGAAATGATTGTCTTAGTGCAAGGTGCATCGGCATCGACTACTGTACTACATGTTAATAATAAATATTCCTTCCTTTGCCTCTATCTTCTCGATTCCTTCAAATGGTGTCGCTGCTTCTCCATGTGATGAAGGTTCCGTGGCCTGCAGTCTTCAAGGATTAAGACATCAAGATCTTCCTCAGCGACTTCGAGTCGGTCGCGGAGGTGATGGGTGTCAGGGATCCAGAAGGTTGTGGTGCGTGGCACGTTGCTGAGGGGTAGAGTGAAAGCAGCGTACGACGGCGTAGAACGTGGGGAGGGGAGGGAGACTTGGGAGAGAATGGTTCAACGCCTGGAGGCGGAATTTGACAACCCAGCGGATAGGGAGCTCAGGATGCAGCAGTTCGGGGACACGAAACCTGGAATAGACGAAGATCCACTGGTATTAGCTATGGAGTTGACTAAACTACTTCGACAAGCACTTCTCATGTTGGATGAAGAGTCACAGGAGCAGTTGCTGGCTGCACAGTTCACCGAAAGTGTCCCAAATGCCATCGTCCAGCAGCTACGACTAGTGAACGCAGCCCAACCCATGGATATTAGTGAGATGACGAAGGTGACCAGACAGCTGATGGGTACAGCAGTAGCTGTGGTAGAGTTACCAGAGGTAAATAACTGAAAAAAAGCAGATCGACAATCTTCAGGAGGAGGTGGTTGCACTTCGAATGAATATCAACAGACAGTGTAAATATTTTGCATGTGGAAAACTGGGACACTGGCGAAGAAACTGTCCAGAGAGACAAAAAAGAAAACGTTTTGAACGATATGACGTGAGTTCGACTAGACTAGATGTTGTAGAAACCATAGACAGGAGTGCTGTGTATGCTAGAATGCGAATAAATAATCGAGAGATCATATGTCTAATAGATACGGTGGAGGGAGTGGCAGTCTCGCTGATCAATCAGAAAGAGTGAGTCTCAGAACATAAGACCACTTGGTTGGGCAGAATCCTTACTCACTGCTGGTAATTCCTTAAGATTTCTGCCGCCTTCTCCATTCTTATCAGCAACGCCCACTACGGTATCACTAGTGCCTCATACAATACGCGTGGCTAATTGCCTACTACTACACGACTGTGTACAATTTGGTTGAGTGTGTTTCGTTTTTTTGTTTTCATACTATCGCAATAGTACTATTCAACGATAAATCACGAGTAAGCAATAGTGCATTATAATAACAGTTTTTAGCAAAGTTATTAAAACAAAAATTGCCAACACAATAAGAAAAGGAAGACCATAATTATTGAAATCAATCAAATATGAAATTATCATCATCATCATCATCATTGAAACTCACCAGTTACTTTAGCAGTGAATGGTGATCCCGGTATATGTTCATCTGCAAATTTAATTGCAATTGTATATTGTCCAGGAGCAAGAGGTAGGTAGCTTACACTACAAGTACCATCAGAATTCTCAACACATTGAATTTTAGCTTTAGATGGACCTTCAACAGAAACTGAAAGACCACCTATCATTGAAAAATAAAAAATAATTTTGTAATTTATGAAGAGGATTTATATGAATATGGTGTCATGTTGACGGTAAAATATTTGCTAAAAAAATACAAAAATAAACCGTATGATCCGTTTACCGTTTTTTGGAAAGGTAATAAAAAATTATCTGAAACTAGGCAAACATTTTATTGTACAAAAATTACCTAGTAATAAATCGTATTCTAAAGCGAAATGTGGCCTATTCAATTCGATTATACGATATACCCCAAATAATTACATAAGGTAGTTAATCGATTCCACCCCACGCAAAATATTAAGCTGCATCATCCTGGCGAGACCAAACAATGCACTGGATTCGAAATTACAACCGGAACAGGCTGGATTCAGGAAGAACAAATCATATGGAGATCAAATGCAGCGCTTCAGATCATCATAGGACAGAGTATAGAATGGTAGTCAACTGGTTCTTTACCTCAACTTCATCGATTTTGAAAAGGCCTTCGATAGCGTCGACCGAGAAGTATTTTGGCAACTGCTCCAACACTACGAATTTAGTGCCACACACCTTTATCAACCTCACTTAACAACTATATGAAGACGCTACATGTCAAGTAGTTCACAATGGGAAGCTCAATGATGCCTTCGAAGTGAAGACAGGAGTAAGATAAGGCTGCCTACTACTATCATCCATAATCTTCCTGAGTGTGGTGGACTGGATCATGCAGCAAACAGTGAGGAGCGAGAAGAGGGATACGCTGGACCGGGGCAAAGATACTAGAAGATTTGGATTTCACCGATGACTTATATCTAGTGTCCCACAAACTCGAAGATATACAAGCAAAAAGCAACAAGTTGGCAAAAGAGGCATTGAAGATGGGACTTCAAGTGAACGTAGAGAAGACAGAGGTGATGATGATATCCAATCAACACCACCAACAAGCACCAATCATCATGAACGGTGGAAACCTAAAGAAAGTAGCCTACTTCACCTATCTAGGCAGCATCGTTTCAACTACAGGCGGTAGAGACGAGGATGTCAAAGCCAGCCATGGTGAGAAAAGCAAGATAGGCTTTCATCAATCTGAAATCAGTGTGGAGATCTAATGCACTCAGACTAAAGCGTGAACAACATACGGATTTTCAACACCAACGTCAAGTCAGTGCTCCTGTATAGTTCAGAGACTTGGCGTGTTACGAAAGGGATTTCCAACAAACTACAAACATTCATCAACAACTCCCTACACTGGCTCGTTACTAAAGATCAGATGGCCAGAAAGAATAAGCAACAAGGAACTTTGACTGGCTGGCAACGAACCAACCAAGAACTCATCGCCTAACAAATATGCAGAAGAAGGTGGAGATGGATTGGGCATACACTGAGAAAGCGATTCGGAGACATCACGCGTCAGGTCAGGCCGTTGAGTGGAAGCCAAAGGGGAAATGACACGTTGGGCGTCTTAGCCGAGGGTGACATGGAGATGTTGTGAGGAAGAAATGAAAGTTTATGGGCAGGCAGTCGTGGAGCCATGTTGAAAAGACTGCAGAGAAGAGAGTGAAATGGAGACGTGATACTGAAGTCCTATGTTCCACTAGGACTCTAAAGGACAACTAATAATAATGTTCAAACACAGCTCCGCCTACCGAAGTTTGGACAGCCAGGTAGTATCATTAGACCTTACACAATACAGTATGGCTCATTGCCTACTGTACAGATATGCATAAAGTGGTTGAGTGGATTTCATCCGTTTGTTTCATTCCTTTGAATCATCTGATAAGGAAGGAAATGATGATAGGGAGTAATGAAAAGATACATTCATGCATTATGCACAAGACTCACCAACACCAGCTTCTTTTGTAACAATAGTGAACTCAGCCAACTGAGATGTAGTACCATGACTCAATCCAGGACCATAAGCAGTAATTCGACCAGTACCAGCACTATCTACATAAAATTTGTACGGACTACCTTGCAAAGGTGTAGTGAATGTACTATCCGGTGAACCAGATTTTGCAAATGAATGAATATTTACACATAATTCATGCATTCCATGTTCCACAGGATCATATGTTATTGTAATTGTTTCGTCATCATTTGTAATAACAGGGACTTGATGTTGTAGACCTGAAGGACGTAGTACAACAGCTGGAGAAGAAGAAAAGAAGATGAAAGATGGATTAGACAGAGGTTAGGATAAAGTAAAATATGAGTTCTATCGAAAATTATCCAACCTACTACTTAAGGTGTCTTCAATATACGCAGGGAGAAAGGTCCACAAGAGGTACTTTTAGAAGTCAATCACTATTACGTATTAAACCTCCCAGCGCATAGTCAGTTACTCCTAGTCAACATCAACTTCAGATACAAAGAGAGACAATATCTCCTGAGCTAAAACCTAATTCAACGGTGGACTCGGAGAAACAATATGGTGATCAGGTATAATTGGAAAGTTTTAGGACAAGATTTTCAATGCATCTGGTGTATACGATTGCACAGTCATCATACGTTCGTTCTAGCACGCTTATGAATGCGGCTAAATGGATATAGCAACATTACAAGTGGTAAATCGTTACAAGTTCCTTCCAATAAATAATGCAGATATTACGGCGGATTTTCAAGAGGAACTAGTTGAGTAGTTACAAAGAAATGACAAAAATACTTATCCTGAAGAAGCTTGAGGCTATACCCAACCTGTAGTTGAAAAATATCAAAGACCGTACTTGAATCTCACAGAAAAGTAAAATAGAGTATGCAGATCTCAGCAGCTTCTTCTAAATTAGTGAATACATAGAAATGTTTTTCTGTAGGTTATGTGCATGATGAGAAGCGGAAGTAGTGGAGATGAACGACGACTGGGGAGATGGTGAAGATAGTGGTGATGGCCAATAGCAAATAACTATGTAAACTTCTTGGAGAATTCAGAACCGTTTCAGTCTGAACAATACACAGTATCTCGAATCTTTGAAGCTGAGAGGACTGTATATAGACTGGAAAAAGGGAGGATACATACATGCTAGCTTAAAATAATTATTTAGATCGACTGAGGCATTAGATGAAAAATATGCAAAGCTCTCGGGATTTCTCGTGACTGTTCTCGAATAATGATTGCTTTCATCCTAACAAGAAAAAAGGAACTCCTTCTATGATGAATACGGAGGAATAAGTCTCGTCATCATTGCATATAAGATTAAACCGAGGAGTGGGGGGACAAATACAACAATTAACACAATACGGGATGAAAATTAACAAAGATGAGAACAAACAGGACAAAGAGTGACATAGTTAATCCTAATCTTGATAAGAAAACAAAGTTTACCAAGCAAGGTAGGTGTAGTGTACACGAACAAATTGTTTCCGTACATATAAAGGTGGCTGTGGCTTCCGCGAATCTCAGTATGCCTCCCTGACTGTTTCTATATGAGACTTTGAAAGCTGTTTGAACATTAACTTTATGACCTGTCTCTATGATATGTTTAGCTATAGATGAAGAGGGTCGTCTCCTACCAGCACTTATCACTGTTTCACACTCCATTTGTTTTTGAAGCGATTTAGGCATATGTTCTCCCACCATCAACTGTATGACTCGATTACTCCTCCCTATGTATGTGTGACCACACACACACATGTAAATTGGTAAACACAATGGGATGTGATGTGATCTATATTCATAAGACGCCAAACAGGTGCATGAGAAAAACAAATGCAAAAAACCAAAGCTTTCGGATCTGGTTATGAATATACAAATCAGATTCTACACATTGCACTAGACCTTAGAACATAGGTATGCTTACCAACAGCTTACACTTGTCACACTTCCTGAAGTAGTCACTTGACTTTGCAGATAGCGAAGTTTCATAGCAATGTCACACACAGTGAGTTCCCCGGTAAGTAAATCATTCATTCTACAGGAAAATTTATAGTCAAACACCAGTGGCCGTAGTAGACCGTACGGCAAGTTATCAGACGAGGTGTTTTCCTCCAATCGTTGTTCGTCAAGGACGTCCACTTTCTCCATTTTTATTCAACGTTGTAATGTATGTGGAGGATTCCTTTGCCTGATGTGATTCAACTGGAACCAACTTCCTCGTCGGAGACTACTTAATCGACCAAGGGTATGGAGGGAATTTAGTCCACTTGGATGATGTTGACAAGAAGCAGAATCTACCGGATACATGGAGTGAAAAACTAGAGAATACTTGGAATATGTTTCACGCCACTTAAATCCGAATTGTGCTTTCAGAACTAGTTTTCGTAATATCTTGTTGAATGACAGGGAACGACTTAATGGAGCCTGTTAATGACCTCATGTCTACGAGAGAAGTCAGACAAGTCCTAGTTGGTCAATGAACAAATACATCTTGGCGGAGATAAAAAAAGCACAATTTGTTTCGACCAGTTAACACTACGTAGGGTCTCAGCGATGGCTCAGTAAGAGTTAAGAGTAATTCGCAGCAGTTGCCTCTGTCCTACTATACGGTTATGAAATATAGTGATCATATTGACTGGCACAGTTGATTTCAATTGGTGATAAACACAATGCTTCCAAAGTTATTCCAAATGAATACAGTAAACTATTAGTTTAATCAGTTGGAATCCAACTACTCAGTGTGATAAGACAAAAAAGTACTTATTCTAGCACACGATAAGGTGATATTTAATTAGAACTTAATGCATAGAATTCATCTAAATAATCTTTATAACCTAATGATTTTCAGCTTATTAGAAGAAATAAGAATTGTGTTTCATCCCACACGCTAAGATATTCAAGCAGAAAAGTAACAAGTTATGCCAAACAAATGAGAGAAAAAAAAGTTAACACTTGCAAGAATGATAGTAACCTGTGTGCAGTTACCAGCAGATTTGTACCAGTCTTGAAACCTAACAGAAACACTAATGAAGTGTAATATATCCTATAAAGGTTAGCTGTAAGTAGATTGACAGTGAGTAACTTCGTTTCTATAGATTCAGTGCGATAATGATAAACAGCAGACGTCAAAACTAGAGAAAAACTTTTAAAAAATTATCACCATAGTAAACATGGTTAGTTAATAACAACAACTGAAGATCGTTTCTACTGGTTTCATGTTGAAGAACAAGTTAGCTGAACCAACAGAAAGTGACAACTGAAAAAATTAACGTGAAACCCACACATACACACACAAGTGCATCGGCTCACGTTGCCAAACTTCACACAATCTGAAGATAAAGATTAGTGCGAATATTCAAGCCCTAGAAGACGTCAAGGAGTGACCGATTTTCAGCCATGTCACCAACCACTTATTCCTATCGCCTCAACGACCTCAGCCAAGTAGTCCACATCTCCCCTAAACATCTCAGACCAAAAGTAAGAGAGTTCATTGACTGGTGCCTTGCCTAGTATCCATCGCCTAATCTCGACATTGCTCAGATACAATGATTACAACACACATCAGCAATGCTACAAGGATACCTGTGATCAATAGCCTGTAATCGCTTCATGTCATCAACTTTTAATGGGCATATCTCAAAGGCGTACAACAGCATAGAACGAACTGAAGCGCAGAGAAATGCTGTTTGAGAAATAACGAATAACCTCGGCATAAAAATTTTATGAAGTTGACATTTCGTATAACCAGGAACTAGGTTGTATATTATGAAGTTGTATCATCATGAAAAGAATAAAAAATATTCACTTTAAGAACTGAACACAGGTTAAAAATTAATATTATCACCAAAATTCATTTATTATTTTATTTATTTGTCTCTTAGGTTCCTAATGGAACATAGGGTTTCAGTAGCACGTCTCCAATGAGCTCTGTTCTTGAAATCTTTTGAACCTGGCTCCACGACAGCCCAGAAGATCACATTTCCTCCTCGCATGATTTCCTCTATGTCACCCTCGGATACCCAAAATTCATAGTGAATATATATATATATATATATATATATATATATATATATATATAATGTGCACAAATGGCATACTTGGTTACTGAAAACAGATTTATTTGATAAAAGAATGTTCCAGAAAACAAAAAAAAACATAATACCTTCGACATTAGCTTTGTTTCGAGGAGCTGGAAGACGGAAGACAACTGGGCGATACATGCTTTGACGTGACTATAAAGTACAGTTTAACAGAAAGAATCAAAGTCGTCAGTTAGGAGTACTAACTATTTAAAGGTGTTTGACAACAAATCTATAGGATATGCACAACTTATAATCACTATTATAAAAATAATTTAAGTACCTTCAGATGCTGACTTTAATAAAAGTCATCAAATAGTTACTGAAACAATTTAAATGGCTTACTCTCTGTGGAAAATCTCCGAGGGTGAAGTCGTACAGCTAACTGAACAGAAGTATGACGACAGTAAGATATTAATTAGCTCAAGTGACAACTACCCTAGTCATGCTTTCTCCTTATTCAGATAAGCAAAGAAAAAAACTAACCCAAAAATATACACTCTCTCGTAACCGCCACCTCGAATTTGTCGGCGGAGGTAAGTCAGTTGACGAGGTTTTGAACCTTCATCGACTGAGATGGTTGGGACACGTACTACGTATGCCTAGTCACCGATTGCCTCGTCACACAATGTTGGCTGAGGTGGGTTCAGGCTGGAAAAAGGCCAGAGGTGGCCAGACTAAAACATGGCACCAATGTATGAAGTCTCTGACTGTTGGTTTGAGCCATGTGGGGTGGCGATGGAAACTTGGTGGTTGGGGTCCACGGGATAAGAGGAACCAGTGGTTGGAGACCCTAGGTGATATGGCTCAAAACCGAAGTCAGTGGCGCAGATGTATACACACATGATCCTCATCTTAACAACGCTATACCGAATCTCACTATTTTGTCACTCCTCTTTCCTTTCTTCTCATACTTTATATTTCTTTTGACTGCATTCACTTATCTTCATCCTTCACCTCACTACCTTTTTACTTGATGTGCTGATATGAGGTGTGGCAACTCGGACCGTTACGCAGTAATGCCTGGTCCTATGTTGATAATGATGATGATGATGATGACCTCTAATTTGTCACTGATAATAAGCTTTTCTAAGAAATAAACATAACTACTCGATGAAAAACTAACAATCTTTAAAATGCTCTATTATTACTGTTAATGGAGGTGGGTACAGTGATCACGCATCCGTGTTCAAAAGATTATACACAATAATCCATTTATATAGGCATCTCGTCCACTGATGTTTTATCTGGAATCCAAAAGCTCTCAGTAACTTTGGGCACATTCGTGCAGTAAGCAATAAGTCATTCCTATTGTGTGACGGCTAATGATACTATCTCGCCACCCAAAGCTCGGTAGGTGGAGTGGCGTTCGGACCCATGACTTATTGGTTGAAATACAACTGTCTAAGCCAATGAGCTACAGTTGTACAGTACAACATGTAAAGATAAGGGATAAGTTATTGAGTGCACTGACTACTTCACTTGACAAATCACATCATTCTCATTGAGTCGGTGACCGACAGAATGTCTGAATGCATTCAATTAACTTAACAGTTCTATTTGTGACTGCAATGTATGTCGACCCACAATCAATCTCATCATCTTGCAATTGAAGTTGGACTAGGATTGTGGGGAGATAGGTGAACTATGTGAGATTTAGCTTTTAAGTTTTAATCTGAAGTGTGTAATGAAATCCAAGGGCATCCGAGTTTGAAACCATGAGAAGACTAAGAAAGACGGTTGGAGACCACAAGGAAATTCTGACAGAAATCGATCCCAGTGTTGACACAGATATGCTCTATTTAACTTCATTCTTTGATTAACCTCTACTTCAACAAACTGGTATAAAACGGTTATGCAGTTATTTCAGGCTTTACATTCATAAAGTCTGTGTGTTTAGACACGTGGGCGTTTCATCTCAGCAGCAAGTTGATAAACGCTGATAAATACTTCTATATTCGCTGTTAATATTTCGGTTTGCGTGGGTTTGTAAACATTATGAAGATCGGAGAATTTTCCAAACGTAATAATATTAGCAAAAACATTGAAGATGAGTAATGAAATTGAGAAAAATTGAAGAGGATAAAGTCAACTAATAGGGAAATGAATCCCATTAACCTCAAAATACATGACCATATAGTATTCATTAGTGATATGCTTCGAGATGGATATCCCAAAGCCATGATCTGAGCGGTTGACTACTCGGAAATGATGCGGATGCCAACTGATGACCTTGGATAATATTCACGAGTTGACAGAAGTAGTAAACTACGGAGCATTGAATACAACCCAATGACTAACGTGTTCCTCGTAAAACCTGCAGGTTATCAGTTCAATCCTTAGCCAGGTTGTGGGTGCCTACTGCTAAAAACTTTCCAATGGTTCTCGAATTGAAGTCAGTCCACGATGAATATTACCACCTTAAAATTAAAATACCCATCAATTTGAAAATAAATAAGCACAGAAAACTGTTTAAAAAAACCCGAAATAAGATCATTTTATCTTCAAAAGATGCATAACTTTAAAAGCCACCCTAACAACTGCTGGATAACTCATCAATTTTTGGTGTTTCAGCTCAAAAGGTGATTATTCATAAAATGAATAATAGGAATGTGATTGACTATCTCAGTAATTGTTACAATGGTCTTTAAAATCACTCTTTAGACATAAGACTAATTGATTTTTGAAGTGTACGGAAAATACTTGGAAAAGTATTCATTCAACAAGTGCCTACATATTCAAGATGTAGTACGTTCTCATTGAAATATCTCACAGGTATATAACTCTTATGTAGAAACATAGTCTATAACTAGAAGGAATAATTTTTATTGTGAGAAAAGACGCCCATGAGGTAAATAATCACTTTTTTTTCTTAAAGACAAGATAAATAATTCATGTTCTGTGGTCACTTTAGGGCAGACTTTGCAGAACAGTCCAAGAACATATATATATATATATATATATATATATATATATATATATATATATATATAAGTTTTTTTTGCCATGGCTTTCCAAGAAAACTCATGGACATCTTCGTTTATAATTATTAACTTTGTAAATTATTTATAAATTTTCACAATGATTAACGTACTGCTTCTTCAGTGATTTCATCGCTGGATAATACCTAAACAGGGAACAATAAAAATTAAAAAAAATAGGCACAAGTAATGACTAATAAAGAAAATACAACGAAAAATTTGATAAGTTTCATTTTATAGAGATAATAGGTACTCGATTTGTGTAAGAAGGAAAGGAGTGAGTAAGATGGACAATTATCATTTGTCCATTAGGTTTCTAGTGGAACATAGGGCTTCAGTAGCACGTCTCTATTTCACTCTTATCTCTGCAGTCTATATTCAACCTAGCACCACGACTACCCACAAGCTTTCATTTCTTCCTCACATGATATCCTCCATCTCGAAGCATGTCGCTAGTGTCATTCTCATGCATCACAATTACCAAGATATATAAGTCAAGTTTATACTTAAGTATAGTCTTTTCATAGAAAAACTTTATTTTACGACACTAAACATATTTAGTATCGCATATTCGCCAGTGATGATGATATCTAGCAATCATAACATTGGATTGACGAACGAATAAGCAGAAAAGCAAGTGAATCACTTACTTTCTGAACAAATTCTCCATTAGGAATTAATTGACCACCATAACGTAGCTCCACATTTAATTCACCCAGTTGTGTAGGTGTGTAATACACGCATGTACTGCCATCACCATTATCTTCTGTTTCTACTGGGAGTAGTGTAGCAGTTGTGGTTGATTGCTTAGTTGGAATTTGAATAACTTGACACGTTAAACGACCTTTACCACCCAGTGATGTATCAACTGTAATAACATTCTCTTTGCCAACTGGTATAACTTTCTTTACACCACCTAAAAATGAATTATAGTAAGAAATACAATTCATATATCAAAACAATGGCAGTGGATTGACGTATTTTTTATACATGACAGAAAATTTTTCCCACATACCTTTGATTTGGCATAAGTCAGCTCTACCGGTAGCCACACTTTGAACAGTGAATGGACTATTATCCACTTCAACACCAGCAAACATAACATGAATATTGTGAGGTCCAATTAGATAGGGTTCATATGTGCACGACAATAATCCTGTGTCGCTTACATCACCAGATGCTAAACTTGTCACAGAAGGAACTACTCCATTCGTTACAATAGATTCACTATCTACAGGTAATGGGACAACTCTGACTGGGACAGATTGACCTTTTGGATCCTGTAAATGACAAGAATATAAAAACAAACAGTAAAAAAAATAAAACCTGAACATGTTTTAAAGCTGGTCGCCTTTCCTTATACTTGTCACATCTGCAAATACAATTGGAACATAACATCCACGTAAGTCATAATGTCGAAAGAGTAATGCGTTTATCAAAAATATAAGAAACTGTAAAACACTAAAAGAGTGCCGATGAATATGATAGGGTAATGGACAAGCCAAGGTTACACAGATAGACAGATTGACAAAATCAACGTAGAACCTAACACACAAGTGTATTGGTTCAAGTTGCGACACTTCACAGTAGAGCACAAAGAACAGGTGTATAGAAAAAAAGTGAGATGAAATAAGTGTTATATGAGAGAATTAAACAATCTGGAGATAACGCTTAGTGCCAGTATTCAAGTTTTATAAGACGTCAAAGAGTGAATACATCAGCATCGCCATTGTGATAGATTTTTACCCACTTCACCAAGATGTCTCAACCACTGACCACATCTCTCTCTCTCCACCGCTCAAACCAACAGTAATAGTCTTCACCAACTTAGTGCCACGTATTGATCTGGCCACCCTGAACAATCCCTCTTCCAACTTAATGAAACTTCCCCGAACATGACACGTCGACGTTGGCTGTGGCTCGGCATACACAGTATATGTGCCCAAGTCATCTCAGTCGACTAAAGTTCACAACCTCGTCAACCGACTAGCATGTCTTGACTAGTACCCCTAGTTTGACCTCAACATCGCTCACATAGTGATTCAATTTCACAGGAGTAATGCAGCGAAGCTCTCATATACACAAGCATTGTAGTATTAGGTTCTAAAGTAACATCGATTAGTTGACCAAAAGCAAATGAAATATTTATGCATTCTTACTGTAAGGCCAAGAGTTAGATCCCCGACACCTGCATCTCGAGCATCAACAGTAAATGTTGCTGGAAGACTAGCTAAGACAGGACCTTCAACTCCAGCACCTAGAACAATAACACGTTCAGGTTCACAGGCTTTACGAATATTCACTGTGAATGGTGATCCAGGAATATGAACATCATCATAAGTAACTTCAATACGACAGGGTCCATCTGCTTCCGGTGTATACGCAACTTTATAGTAATGCTGTTGTGTTGAATCTTTATCTGTTCCTCCATTGAGAGATTGAACATTTGCAGGTCGTAATTCTCCACCTGGTTTCGGTGTATACATGACCTGAAAGTACCAATAAACGATAGTTTATTAGTGAGTAATCATATTTGAAAGTACAGTAAATCAATTTGCTCAAAATAAAGGAAACCCGTGATTGTTATTACCATTATTACTATCATTATTATTTACAAATGATGTAACATTATTTATATATTTTATTTATTTGTCCCTTTGGTTCCTCATGGAACATAGGGCTTCAGTAACACGCCTATATTGCACTCTGTTCTCTGAAATCTTTTGAACCTGTCGCCACGACTGCCCATAACCTCTCATTTCTTCCTCGCACGATCTCCTCCATGTCACCCATCTGGGTTCCACTCGAGGGCCTGACGCATGATGTCCTCGAATGGTCTTCTCAGTGTATGCCCAATCCATCTCCACTTCTTTCTGAATATTTGTGGAGCCATAGGTTCTTGCCTCGTTGGTTCGTTGCCAGAGTTCCTTGTTGCTTATTCTTTCTGGCCATCTCATCTTTAGTAACGAGCCAGTGTAGGGAGTTGTTGATGAATGTTTGTAGTTTGTTGGAAATCCCTTTCGTAACACGCCAAGTCTCTGAACTATACAGGAGCACTGACTTGACGTTGGTGTTGAAAATCCGGATCTTGTTCCACACGCTGAGCGCAGAAGATCTCTACAGTGGTTTCAGGCTTATGAATATGAGTTAAGTTCCTCATGAGACTGACATCTCAAAGCATTCAATGTTGTGAAAAGGTAAGTAAATTACACACTTTCTTATTAGACGTCAAAATAAGTGAGAAGCCATTCGCGACTGGTCTACAGTATGATACCTGCGATATCCGTTATTCATGTTACTATTAATCAAAAAACAGACCCCCAAATAACACCTTGGTTCAACGGTAGTCCACTTGATAACTTGTAATCGAGTACTCTAAGCTAAACATTCTTGTCAGCAAAAGTTTGAAAAATTACTACTAGGTCATTGAATAGTCATAAAATGATTGGATATATTTAGAGACTTGATTGGTGCGCATAATAACACGATCGTTTGAAGTATATTCATTTTCGATAACTTAGTTATGGCTAGCAGTGGAATCCAGAATAACCGTTTCGTCTTATTTCGGACTCGTCAGCTAGGTGTATCTGTACCGTAGTGAGTGACGTTGTTTCCACTAAAACTGCGACCTCAGTACCTACTGCTTCAATCGCCAAAGCGCTATTCACTAGGCATGATGGACATGGACAATAAGCAGCAGACTGTTGTACGCAGTTGGGAGGATCGAATCGAGTGACTCATCGTGTGGGTAGATTGAGCCTAGTGGGGAAGTATATCCGAGACTAATCATGTGCTTAAAACTAATGGAATCAGGCAAAGATATAATACTTACAAGTTCTTTATTTGTTCGCTATTAAGAAAAGCTATGCATAACGTTGAACACTTCCATTCTGAACGTACAGACAATTAGAAGTGTCTAAAGGAAACAATGGATGACGAATTAGGAGATCTAACTAACACCATAGTACAGTAATCCATGAGACAGAATAGCATATTCTTTTACTGAAACATCTAGGTAATTTGATACAGTCTAACATAGTGAACTTTTTTGTCATTTATAAATAAGAACTTAGTACATAAAATTTATTGACAAACAGATGACATAACTCATACCCGTAAACGTGCATCACCAGCATTTTTTGTATCCACAGTGAAATATGCTGGCCATCCAGCACGTAGTAAACCTGATTCCAGACCAGATCCATAACATCTGACTTGTTTAGGATCAACTTTAGCGTTCACACTTACATGGAATGGACTACCTATAAAATTTTTATCAGAGATAAGAAATACAAAAGTTAATAATAATAATAATAATAATAATATATACTAATTATAGAAATGAATAACTGAAAAGGCATTTGTGAAATGGTGTATGCTGAATGTACAAAAATATCACCAATCGTTTCAAAGTTTCAGTTATCAAGGGTGTACAATTCAAAAATCTAAAATAAATAGTTCTTCACATACTTATCTGGTCTCTTTCAGATATACCTAACTGAAAAGTAAATTATCATAACAAATAGGATACATTCTGTACAGGTTATTTTACTGTGGAAACACGTACATCGATGAAATATGATTACTACAAGCCATCTAACCACTTCAGGTGTGTTTAATTGATACAAGTTTGTAAACTAAGTTATAAGCCAACTAATTTATTCAACCAAACACTTCTGAAAATGAATAGTATACGTCAACTCGGTTGAGAATATTTATACCTTAGGTGCATGATCTTCGTTGTGTTGTGTTCTCTGAACTGAGTGGATTAATCGTGAAGCTTTCATTGTCTACCTAGACAATATCATCAACACTAACTTCAATATGAAGTGAGCTGTCAGTCAGTGTTTGTTTCCTTTAATTGTTGTGTCATTGATTGTATAGATTTTCTTGTTGACTGTTCCGCAGCTTCACCTCTGACCTTTCTTCTGTCGTTTATCATCTTTCCCATTGGTTGATAGATTGGGCCTATGTCTATACATTTATTGATTGCTGACTGACTGACTGACTGATATTATTTGTATTTCCTTTCTACCGTCCAAGATTTCTGCATTATCGGAAATGAATTCATGTCCATAGTTATCGATGTGCATTGAAATGAGCGGAGACGGCGATCACGTTGTCTATATGAACATCAATTGGCTACTAAACGTCACGACATTTCACCGCTCATTTCAATGCACATCGATAACTATGGACATGAATTCAATTCCGATAATGCAGAAATCTTGGACGGTAGAAAGGAAACACAAAGAATATCAGTCAGTCAGTCAGCAATCAACAGATGTATTGACATAGACCCAATCTATCAACCAATGGGAAAGATGATAAACGACAGAAGAAAGGTCAGAGGTGAAGCTGCGGAACAGTCAACAAGAAAATCTATGCAATCAATGACACAACAACCAAAGGAAATAACCAATCACAAAACAGCTCATCAGAGCAAGCTACTGAAACACTGACTGATAGCTCAGTTTATATTGAAATTAGTCCTGATGGTATTGTCTAGGAAGACAATGAAAGCTTCACGATTAATTCATTTAACTCAGAGAATACAATACAATCAATACCATACAGAAATTCAAGTAAGCAATTATGTTTAATCATGATAAATTAAATTATTCTGGATGCAGACAACGTTAACTCCATATATCATATCGAACACATGCTGCAGGTATCTACCTACAGTAATCATTTTAAATTAGTTGAACTGATTACAATACGACTTAAACAACAACAAATTGTAACACATATGCAGTGAAAAGTCTTCTTAGAATAAAATTAAGTACTCAAAACCTTTTCATTTATTTTACTGACAAGTCATAATAGAAACAAATCGATGTAGAAGAAATTTTCCCTTTCAAATGAGCAGAAATAAAAGATCCACTTGGATTATTCCTGATAGTCAATAAACAATGGTTAGATGAGTTAACTCCACTTATGGCGGTAAATATTTCTGTATATCGAAGGAAGTATAGATTTTTACATCAATACAGGTTTATGCAAAAAACTTACCTGGTACATTGACATCATTGAATCGTATGTATACAGAATAGGCACCAGGTTCTGACGGTGTGTAATAAACTGTACATGTTCCATCTCGATTATCTTGACAATCAATTGGTGCTTCACTTGGACCTTCAACTGCTAATCCAAGACCACCTTGACCAGCTCCAGTTAAATCAACTGTGAAATTGGTTTGAACACCTGGTTTTAAATGTGGTCCTTTCTCTAGACCAGGACCGTAAGCTTTTACTCGATTTGGATCACAACCAGGAATAACAAGAATACGATAAGGACTTCCTGGGATTCCTAAACCTTCATAGGTTACATCTAGTTGGTGTTCACCTAATTGAATGATACAAAAAGACGTAAAAGCATACACATTACATAGTAACGTCATTACTTTAGTTAAGGGTAATGATAAGCTGAGAATTCGTGTAAAAAGAAAAAAAAGTCATGTAAAATTTTATAATGACGCTGGAAATGATCCAAAAATAGTACAATTTCAAGGTTATTCTTCAAAAAGTGAAGAAACAAAAAGAAAGTTGACAGTGAAGCTATCAGCAACTACACCATGGCAATATATACCCGGAGGATTAAAAATTTAGTGTGTATAAAAGCACAGTGGAAGGAATTATACTCCATAGTGTTGTGGATGCCTACATCCTTTATACTTGTGCCTAATGTCACATAAACTTGAAGATCTGCAGGCAAAAACTAACAAGTTGATAGAAGAGGCAGCGAAGACGCGACTTCAGGTGAATATAGAGAAGACAGAAGTGATGAAGATACCGCACCACCACCATCAACAACAACAACAACAAACTCCAATCACCGTCAACGGGAGAAACTTAAAGGAAGTAACCTCGTTCACTTATCTAGGAAGCACTGTTTCAACTACAGGCGGGACGGACGAAGACGTCAAAGTCAGAATCGGAAAAGCAAGACAGGCGTTCATTAGCCTGAAACCAGTGTGGAGATCTTCTGCACTCAGCATGCGGAACAAGACACGGATTTTCAACACCAACGTCAAGTCAGTGCTCTTGTATGGTTCAGAGACTTGGCGCGTCACGAAAGGCATTTCCAATAAACTACAGACATTCATCAACAACTGCTTACGCTGGCTCGTTACTGAAGATCAGATGGCCAGAAAGAATAAGCAACAAGGAACTCTGGCAACGAACCAACCAAGAACCTGTCGCTCAACAAATATGCAGGAAGAAGTGGAGATGGATTGGCCATGCACTGAGAAGGCCGACTGAGGACATCACGCGTCAGGCCAGTTGCTCGAGTGGAATCCCCATGGGAAGCGACGAGTTGGACGTCCAAGGGTGACATGGAGGAGGTCGTGCGAGGAGGAAATGAGAGCTTCTGGGCTGTCGTGAGACCAGGTTCAAAAGATCTCAGAGAACAGAGGTCACTGGAGGCGTGCTACTGAGGCCCTATGTTCCACTAGGAACCCAAGGGACTAATAATAATAATAATATAATATCCTTTATACTCCCTTATACTTACAATTTATATTTATTTGATGTGTTTTCTTTGCGCTTTTTTTTTCCCGCACATGATTCATATTCCATATAGTCCGCTAATGTTCTGATTGGCTACTGTCTCTTTAAACGTACTAATTATTCCTTCTTTCATAGTTACTGTAAACTGTATACATAAGGTTCATTTTCAGTACAAGATACTATAGTTGATTTCCCTTTGAGAATCACTCAGATTGAATTGTCTATCTATGCATTCGTTAATCATTATCGTACTTTCTAACAAAACTCCCCGTCATAACACATAGGAACAGCTTGTTAAAGAGGAAATTATCAACAAATTACAGTAATGAATACAATGATAATTTGGTTGAATGTGTGGCTAGCAGAAGAATCCGAGACAAGCGTTTAAAGCGATGGGTACAAGGTTCGAGTCTCAGTGAGAACAAGACTTTCCACTGGATTGGAGGTATATCTAGCTGACAAGTGCCAAATAGGACGAAACACACATCATGGATTCTTTTGCTAGCCACAACCAACTAACAAGTATATCAATAAATAGCTAAGCTTGATCATTACGCTAGAAGCATTAATGAAAGATTAGAAGTTATATATCTTACCTTCTTCTAATGGAGTATAATTACAAATATATTTGCCATCTTTGGTGCTTACAACATGACAAGCTGATCTTTCTTTATTTGGTCCCGTAAGAACAGCACTAATAATTCCTTCACTATGTGAATCAATAGCTGATGCATCAATAGTAAACTTGACATAAGAAGCTTTATAAACCTCTGAAAGTTTAAAATGGAGATGAAAAAAAAAAGTAAAAAATGATTATTTTTTTTCCTCTTTCTTAAAAGTACTAAATAATTAAAGATTAAAAGAGAAAAAAACAAAGGCATAAAGTAGTTTTATGAGTTAGTGAGTTATGCAATGCAATACAACAAGACAACAAAATCATTCCAATGAATAGATAGATAGATGAAGGTATATATTTTTCTTCATACAGATATTTATTATCCAATAGAAATGATAAAGGAATTACCATTGATATCCACTCCAATCCCATAACATAATATATTATCAACATTTATATTTGGCTTATCATTAGGATAGACTTGAACAATAAATGGACTGCCAAATATATGCGATTCATTATTATATATTACATAAATTGTATAACATCCTGATATAAATGGTATATAACTGATACTACATGTTCCATTTTCATTATCTATACAATGAATTTTTGTTTCACTTGGTCCAATAATTGTTATACTCAATGGAGCTGGTGGAACATATTGACTGTTAATAATAAATTTAGCCAATTGATTTGTAATAGCTTTAATAAGTCCTGAACCTTGAGCTGTTATCTTGTATGCATACTGATCAGGTGTTGGTTTCGGCCATTTATTCTTAATCATAGTATCAGCCTATTTATATATACATATATACATATATATATATGTATATAAAACCATTAAGTAAGATGAAGGTAATATAAGTAATGATTAAAGTAGTATAATATGATCCCAGCATGCTAACTCATCACTATTATCATCTATATGAGCATATCAACAAGCAGTGTATTAAAGACAAGACAATTAGCAGAAATACAAGCAAAAAAGATGAAAAACTAATCCAACACCCATGCATACGATAATCTTATCCAAATAAATTGCAGACAACACGGATGCATAATATTTGAATGATGCTTGAGTAAATAAATAAATAAATAAATAAAATGAATAATTACTTTTTCTTTTTCCGTTATCAATGATCCTAGATACTGTTTCTGTTCTAGTACTGAAGAACAATTTATGTTATGTACATTATTATTTCCATTATTTTTATGACACTGTGTATACATTTTCACATCATTTTCTTTGTATAATGATGTAGTTAAAGAGATATCTTTAACAATAATATCCTGAAATGTCTCTTTTTCTTCTTCTTCTTCTAAACAACTATTGTTGATGACAATTCTATGCATATCAGCATTGGTATTGATGGACTGTAGTACAACATCTTCGGGAATATTATTATTATTATTATTAGTAGTAGTAGTAGTAGTAGTAGTAGTATTGTCTTCATTTACTTCAATGATACAATCATCTTTTGAGTTAACAATCTGTTTATTCAACTCAACAGTTGACTCATTTAATTCTTCACTACACATCAATCTATACAGGGAGTTATCATTATTATGGTTTGTAAGCAAGTTATCACAAATACCAATTTCATTATATTGTATTTGTGATATTTTCAAAGTACTATTTCTGTTGAAATCTTTATTCTCAATTTGTTCGTCAATGGATCCGCTATCATTACAATATAATTGACAATTCTTGGTATTTACACATTCATTACTAGACTCTAATGTTGACAATGTATTATTATTATTATTATTAATAGTGTATACTTTAGTCAATACACATTCATCATCTACAATAATCTGTATATTATAGTAATAGGCTAAATCAGTAGTCGGAAATGTACATACAATACTATCATCTGTTTCACCTTTCAAGCTAACAGGTAAACAGATTTTTGATTTACCTACTGATTGAATTTTTACACTAAGATGATCTAATAAATTTATAGCATCTTTTGTATAAATTACAAATTGATTAATTGCTGTAATCAGAAAGAAAAATATATATATGAATCAAAATATTTTATACAAAAATAATAAAAGGGTAAAGTTGATAATAACAACTTTAGTTAAACAATTGAAAATTGAAATCACCAGAACCACCATCATTAGTATCCCCTTCATGTTAATCTTAAAGTCGAAGTATACAATAAAACTAAAGTATCTAACTAGATCGCTTAGTTTTTCACTTCACATTCGACCATTAGGAATAATCTATGATGGAGGCATGAAATAATTAAAGACACACAGACAAAATCGAATTAGAGCCTCGAACATAACTGCTTCGATTCAAGTTGGATAGAATAAGTGTGATATCAAAGTATACCTTGAAGACAAAGATTAGTGCAAATATCCAAGCTCTAGAAGACGTCTGTACCATTGTAACTGACTTCCAACCATGTCAATAAGAGTCCTCAACCAGTCAGGTGGTCTACATATCCCAACAGTCAGAGACTTTATGGATTGGTGACAACATTTAGTCTGATCATTCCGTGTTTTCTTCCAATCTAACCTATCTAACCCCTCGAAGCATTCCACATCGACATAGACGGTGATATGACATATACAACACATCCCTAAACCACCTCATCGACTAACTTTCTTTCATTGGCTAGTACTTTTCATGTAATCTCGACACTGTTCACATGGTAGTTCCACTAAACTTAATCGCTTTATATCCTCTACTTTAAACGCCCATCTCGTCAGTTCACGCTACAGATGACACGAAATGGCAAATACCAAACGGGACTTGTGTATCGAGCTGAGATTTCGTCAGCAACTAAACCGTTCAGCCTAATGCAACTACCCAAGTAGGTGAGGTGGTCGACACATCCCACCACTTCAATCCTTATCATTAAACTGAGAGCAATTATAGATCAGTCCTGGAGCATCATCATCTTATATTTGATAGGTGAAAGACACACATTAAATAATGCAAATGAAACTGTCGAACCCACTGCACGCTTACTTCATATATAATACAATATTGTAAATAGTTTAAGTGACGGTTCACTGATATTCCTAACATAATCATCATCTCTGGATGTTTACTCAATGTGTAAAAGTGGATAGTAGGAGAATGATAGTCAAATAGACAAAAGTGTTAGAATAGATAAAAGTTAATGATAATACTGAAAACTTTGAAGATGACGATGAACAGTATACACACACATCTACACCATTATGACCAATTTTGTTATTATGAATTTCGTCTAGTTCTGATTGAATTCTATCGGTCATTTTCCAATAGGCTAGTTGACTCAACATTGCAATACACTTTGATAGATGATATTTAGATGAAGACAATAGAACATTGGGTGACGCGGGTTCGAATCTCATAGGAGATATAAGTTCCCTCGAAGTTGCAGATACACCTTGCTTACAAGTGTCAACTAGCCCGAAACCTAATTGCTAGGATTCCTGCCAACTCCCTCTAGCCAACCAATAGAAGAGAAAATAACCTCAGTAGACAAGGTTTATGCTTGATATATCACACATAACAATGCATATTTATTACTTCACGCCGTCAACAAGGAATAATCAACTGCAAGCACCTTAGTAATATAAATAGTAGGACATACATTTTTAGAGTGAAACGTATTAAGTAAATAAGGAATAGATTCAACTTACTGGTATCTAAATTCTTTATCTTAATCTTAGAAACATCAAAACCACATTGTACAGGTACTTGAATCGGTGATTTCGCAGGTATCCCACCAATTAAAGGTGTAATTCGAACATTTGAACATAACGAGGATGGAATGTATTCCACACGAACAGTATTATCTGACTGTTTGTTAAGTCGTGCTGAGATTGAATGACCTTGATCGTCAACAATATTTACAGATACTGGATTATTGATCATTAATTCAGTTTCATTTTCACCTGAAAATGCTTCTTGAGGATCAATAAAGAAGTGAGTTGGTTGTTTCCTAACAGCATTTTGTAAACCAGGACCCCATAATTTCACTTTTTCTGGTTGTATTTCAGGTGCAACATTAATCTAAAAGAAAAGTGATAGAGTTATTCCATGATGTAGATAACTGAATCGACAACTCTTTTTTTAATACCTAGAAAAATTCAATACATACTCTGTAAGGAGCACCATTGACTGCTATATTTGCAACTGTGATATATATAGTGTGAATCCCAGGAGATAAAGGTTTATATGTATAGACTATTGTACCATCCGGCTGCATTCGAGACTGAACAGGTACTGGATTCCCTGTAGCATCATGACAATTCATATGTAATAAAGATTCATTTGTCGAACGCAATATTTGAGCGGGAACAGCATCATGTAAACCATCCACATAAAACTCAGTTTGTTGACCAACAGTAAGATTTTCTTTCTCCACTCCAGGACCATGAACACGCAACTACAAAGTAAACGGGATAAGAATTTTTTTTCAAATGTATCAGTACCAGATCTATTCAAACAATAATTGAATCACTGATCAATGATATCACTTACTCACTTCTGTATTCATTAACAGATTAGTCCCAAACTGATTTGTTCCTGATCAACAGTAGCAATCAATAAGGATGGGCAGCAATATATGAATTTCCTAGAGTAAACTGCTTATATTCATCCACAAATCCATATGATAATTAAAACAACAGACAAACAGAAGCAGAGTCAACGTAGAACCTCTAAATTGCTGACTGTTAGCCTCAATCGTATTGGACAATGAAGACTATGAGACGAAAGAAATCTGTGGTTGAGGATTCTTGGTGACATGCTTGAAAATCGATCACAATAGTGTAGATGGTATTCACTCTTTGACGTCTTCTAAAGCTTGAATATTTCCACCATACGTTACCTTCTGATCGTTTATACTCTCACACTAGTCTGGTCTTCAGCGGTACCGCGGTTAACAATAGAGAGTGAAGTGGTTGAGTGTGTTGACCACTTCACTTACCTGGGAAGTAGGATCAGCCCTGGTGGGTTAGTTCCCCATAAAATCTCTGCACGGATACAAAAGACTCGATTGGCTTTCGCCAATTTGCGCCACCTATGGCGCCGCCGTGATATTCGTCTGTCTATTAAGAGTCGCGTGTACTGCACAACAGTCCGCTCTGTTCTACTATACGGCTGTGAAACATGGCCATTGAAAGTGGAGGATACAAAAAGGCTTGAGGTGTTTGACCACCGTTGCCTTCGTAATATAGGGCGTATTCCGTGGTGTCACCATGTGAGTAATGCAGAAGTTAGGTGTAGAGTTTTGGGGAGAAGAGGTAAGTCAGTTGACGAGGTTGTGAACCTTCATCGACTGAGATGGTTGGGACACGTACTACGTATGCCTAGTCACCGATTGCCTCGTCACACAATGTTGGCTGAGGTGGGTTCAGGCTGGAAAAAGGCCAGAGGTGGCCAGACTAAAACATGGCACCAATGTATGAAGTCTCTGACTGTTGGTTTGAGCCATGTGGGGTGGCGATGGAAACTTGGTGGTTGGGGTCCACGGGATAAGAGGAACCAGTGGTTGGAGACCCTAGGTGATATGGTTCAGAACCGAAGTCAGTGGCGCAGATGTATACACACATTATCTCCATCTTAACAACGCTATACCGAATCTCACTATTTGTCACTCCTCTCTCCTTTCTTCTCATACTTTATATTTCTTTTGACTGCATTCACTTATCTTCATCCTTCCCCTCACTACCTTTTTACTTGATGTGGCGATATGAGGTGTGGCAACTCGGACCGTTACGCAGTAATACCTGGTCCTATGTTGATAATGATGATGATGACTCTCATACTAACTTATCTACTTTGATATCACTCTTATTCTATCCACCTGTTATTTGTATAATACTGTGATGTTAGACAGCTTGAAGCGAAACACTTGTGTCCGAGGTTCTACGTTAATTCTATCTGCAACACTTTACAGTAGTATGCAAAACACAAGCTGATAAGTAATAACAAAGAAGAGAAATCGAAAAATGAGTGCTAGCGGATGCCAAAGAATGAATATAACTGCACCAATGTGGCGGATTTTCAGCCAGGTAAACAACACTTTTTGACAACATTCAAACCATAAGTCACAGCCTTCATAAAGTATTACCACATCTTGGTCTGGTCACTCTTGATCTTATTCTAACCTAATCTTCGTTCAAAGCCATTTCAGTCGGTGAAGACTCATTACTTCATCAACTACCTTGTCATCGTCGCCTAGCTCTCTTTAACTGACCTCGACATACTTATACAGCGACTCTGCGACACCTGAGTAATGCTACGAAGACACCAACCATAAAATATCTGTAACTGCAACATAGCATATATTCCCAGGGGCTATCTCTCATAGCTGCATAATAGGACAGAGCGAACTCAAGCACAGTATATAATACCAATTCGTTAATAGGTACTGGGAAGAGAGTAGCTGACTAATGAGAAATTTGAATTGTCATAGAGATATAAGTGCTGAAAATATCGCCAAGCCTGTAGCTGAAACATTAACGAGAAAATATCAAGGCTCAGAGAACACCGAATCACTATCATCCTTATCCTGAGCTATAAATTTTTTCCATTATTTCAGTATAACTGTTTCTAGGGAAGATAGAGTCTACATTTAATTTTGGAAGCCATAACAGCTTTCTATAAACCACAAGTAATTGTCTACAGTGAAGCCATTAAATGACTGAGAGGAATTACTTTAAGGTGATAACTTTTAGGTAGATGTTATAATGAAGAAACAACGAAAAAAAACTAATTTTTCATACCTTTCCAAGATGAATATCTTCAAGATTAGAAACTATTATAGGCATAAACGGAGATCCGGGAATATCTTCATCATAACAGGTCACATGAATAGCATATTCACCAGGCTGTGAGACTGTATAACTTACAAGAGCTGAATCATCACCATTATCACGACATACAACTTTTGCTTCACTAGGACCTTCAATTAAGAATCCTGAAGAATAAGATATGAGAATCAAAAACAATGAAATTGGACTTTATTGAAAGGGCAGTATATCAAATAATTAACTAACAAATCTCACGTTTAAAACATTCGAAACAGTTAGTCCCTTTTATGAATATCGATAGCGTAATGAGAAGATAAAGTTTATCTGAACAATGAGAAGTATCTGCGCAATACATTTCGAAGAACATGATCCCTCACACATTTACTTGTCAAGTCAATGTACATATTGAACCGAGGACTGGGAGGGGGGACAATTACAACAAGTAACACAATACGGGATGAAAATTAACAAAGATGAGAACAAACAGGAAAAGAGTGACATAGTTGTGATCCTAATCTTGATAAGAAAACAAAGTTTACCAAGCAAGGTAGGTGTAGAGTATGAACAAATTGTTTCTGTACACGTAAACGTAACTTTGGCTTCCGCGAATCTCAGTATGCCTCCCTGACTGTTTCTATATGAGACTTTGAAAGTTGTTTGAACATTAACTTTGTGACCTGTTTCTATGATATGTTTAGCTATAGATGAAGAGGGTCGTCTCCTACCAGCATTTATCACAGTTTCACACCATTTGTTTTTGAAGCGATTTAGGCATATGTTCTCCCACCATCAACTGTATGACTCGATTACTCCTCCCTAAGTATATGTGACAGTGGAATGTAACGTAATCACTGATGTAGTGTTTAAGTTTGTGGGGGAAGCATGTGTTTTGTTTTTTTCTAGAATAAGATTTGTATGAAAATGATACTATTCAACTCCTCTCTGTACGGTGGAGTGATATGGACACTTTTCTTAAGGACCGTGTATAGAGTTGGCTTTGGTGATACTTGACCTCTACAACGGATTATTAACTTCGTCGGATATCCATTTTCCATAAGTGCTTTGCTCAGTAATTTGATGTCTTCATCCATCAGTACACTAGATGCGATGGATGACGTCAAATTACAGAGCAAAGCACTTATGGAAATGGATATCCGACGAAGTTTATAAACCGTTGTAGAGGTCAAGTAGCACCAAAGCCAACTCTATACACGATCTTTAAGAAAAATGTCCATATCACTCTACCATACAGAGGGGAGCTAAATAGTATCATTTTGAGACGTAGGCTGACATCAGCCATTAAGAAAACGTATTACGCAGCAAATCTTATCATTGTGGAGAAAACAAAACACATGCTTCCCCCACAAACCTAAACACTGCATCAGTGGTTACGTCAAATCCCATGGTATTTACCAGTTTACATGTGTGTGTGGTCACATATACATAGGGAAGGGTAATCGAGGCATACAGTTGATGGTGGGAGAACATATGCCTAAGTGGCTTCAAAAAACAAATGGAGTGTGAAACAGTGATAAGTGCTGGTAGGAGACGACCCTCTTCATCTATAGCTAAACATATCATAGAGACAGGTCATACAGTTAATATTCAAACAGCTTTCAAAGTCTCATATAGAAACAGTCAGGGAGGCATACTGAGATTCGCGGAAGCCAAAGTTACGTTTACGTGTACAGAAACAATTTGTTCATACACTACACCTACCTTGCTTGGTAAACTTTGTTTTCTTATCAAGATTAGGATCACAACTATGTCACTCTTTTTCCTGTTTGTTCTCATCTTTGTTAATTTTCATCCCGTATTGTGTTACTTGTTGTAATTGTCCCCCCTCCCAGTCCTCGGTTCAATATGTACATTGACTTGACAAGTAAATGAGTTGACTGTCACTCTGTGCTGTGTTCCATGATGATGCGTAGCGTTGCAATTTGATCCGCATATGATTTCAACTTCCTGAATCCAGCCTCTTCTGGTCGTAATTTTGAATGCAGAGCATGTTTCAGTTTCGCCAGGATGATGCGGCTTAATATTTTGCTTGGGGTGGACAGCAGCATGATTTCGCGCCAGTTCTTGTAAAGACATGATAAAGGTCATGACTACCCGAAATTATCGTGGCAACTGAAGGGAAATAACAGGATAAAAGGATCTAAATTCACGTTAATGCTTTGTTTTGACAGGCTTATGCAAACAGAATAATTGTAAGAGATATCCACTGAAAGTGTACGACGTAAGGCATTTTTGACTACTACATCATGCTGTGGCTCAATGGTTTACATAAAGGACTCACAACCAATCGTCGAGTTACGGGCTCCGCTCCACTTACCAAGGTTTAGACAGCCAGGTAGTATCACTAGCCCTTACACAAGATGTATGGCTCATTACCTACTTCAAAGAAGGCGAAAAGGTGGCTGAGTTCATTTTCAAAGCACATTGTTTCAGTACCACGAAGTTAGGGTGGCAATTTTTGTCACAGTTGAGAAACTCATGAAACCTGTATCTACTGAGGTCTACTTACTGTATGCTACACATATGACAAGTCATTACTTACATTACATTACATTACAATAACTATCAAAGAAGTATCATATTCAAAATCTTCGAGTTCGGATAAAAAAATATAGCTCTTATCTAAATTTTCCATGTACCCGTGGAGATCCATTCCTCGTCTTGTCTCTTCTTCTTCTTCCTTCCTAACACGGTTATGCAGGTTTCCTTCCATGTCTCTTCCATAGAGTTCTAATGTTCTTCCACGCAGGTTCCTTCAAGGATGTTGCTCAATATCTCCCATCTTCTCTTCATGTCTGACGTGAAGGTGTCCTTTGTAGTTACGACCTTCACTTTCTGTTCTGGGTGTTGAACATCAACTGTGGCCGTCTATCACCAGCGTCTTTGAAGGCTTTCAACTTGATTTGGAAGGTAGGTTCCTTGCACTAGATAGTGAGTGGTGTGAATCACCTACTTCTGCTCCCCTTCTTGATTTTATGTTTAGCAAGCTGCGTCTCTACCTCCTTCAGATTGAGATAAAGTCGATCTGATTTTTAGTGTGTCCTGGTGTGTGGTAAAATCGAATTCACGTCGCTCGCTTTGTGAATATCCTTGTGTTTGTACACACTGCCACCAATCACCAAATCATTAAATGCTCAGAAGTCTGCAAACAGTTCTCCATTCTCTTGGTTGTATTGTGTTCTCTGAGCTCGTTCATTTCACCGAGTGCTTCTAGACCCATGATTGGTTCTCCTCTTGTGCTCTCCGTTCCCAGTTTGGCATCCATGTCACCCCACCCATTAGAATTTTAATGTCGCCAACTTAAGTGAGGTCTTGTCTAGTACTGATTGCAGTTGTCTGCAGAATTCCTCCTTCTTCTCGTCATCTGCATTATTTGTAGGCGCACAGCGTAGCATTGTATGCTTGTGACTTTCCTTACTCTTGAGTTGAACCTTCCTGTCATGATCCTGCAGGCAGAGATTGGTTCCCACTGCATGAGGGCCCTTGATGCTCTCCGAGGCATCATGATAGACACTCCATAACTCAGTAAGCTCGTGGTTACTGACTGTCAAACTTCCTGGATGACATTAGCAAATCACCTAAAACTACCGTTTACACATAGAACAAGACATATAAGGGAACAATACTGTTTTCAATTAGATCGTCTTCAAGCTTTACTTTAATACAAATAGCTTAATATATATATTTAGAATTAAACCAATCATGTAGATTTGTCGGTTGGTGTGATAAATGTTTTAAAATAACGACGGTGATAACAATACAAATAATAACAATGATCAGAGTGATAACGTTGACGAAAGCACATGCATTATAAATGATAATGATGATAAGAACCAAGATAGCAGCATGAAAATGCAGACACTCTGATAATAAAAGTGGGTCAAAAGTTTGTGAAAATAAAAGTTATGTAATACTGAAGGACGAGGTAAGTGGATAAACAAAGTCTAGACAAATACAGTAGGTATATGAAAGGGGTGAAGAATAAGAAAAGGGGAAGGAGAAAAAAAACTGAAGGATCAAGTTATCAACTAAGTATTCCCTGGCCATGGGAGATAAAGGATGTACAAATTTCTTCTGGATACAAAGACTAAGATTATTAGACTGAATTCCTACAGCTTTTGCTATGTGTATAAGAGGAGTTTGAATACTTTTTGAAACTTGAGGGTATGCAGTGAATAATCATGAAAACGTTGTTCTTATCTACCAAGTGACCACTGTCAACGAGGTGAGATAAGACTGAACTTTTGATGGATTTTATCTGTCCCTTTCTCTACCCTGAAGATAGAGGCTCAGCAACACATTTGTTAAGTCGTCTAGTAGTACGCCCTGTATACACATAGTTTCAAACTGATCACAACAAGGAGATGGGGTGAAAGTAAAGCTTATCCTACGAATGTTATAGCATTCTGACTGGAAATATGTATTTTACGCATCCTACATGAATATATTCTGAAGTAAAAACTGCAACCACCAATTCCTTTGGATGTAATTTGAAGCCTCAACTAACTCAGTGTGATCTGTGAGCATAATTCATCCTAAATAACTGTACTTACTAACCGCCTAGGAAATGAAAATGCAGGCAAAACTTTGCACAACAATAAACGGTTTGAAACACAATGCAGTGACAAACGATATTGTAAAAACTATGCAGGTGGGTAGAATATTCATACAAAATACAGGTAAATGTTTGCATTTTTACAGACGACCCTAGAACCAATGGCGAGCACGATATTATACATGGATAAATGTTAGCCTCATCCAGGAGGTGTCATCCATCCATCCAAATCAACATCGGACCAGGCATTACTGCGTAACACTCCGACTTGCCACACCTCATCCCAGTATATCAAGCAAAAAAACACTGAAGTGGGAGATGAAGAAGTACTAAAAGAGAGAAACGAAGAATGAGAAAGTGGTGAGATTCAGGATAGCGTCGTTAAGATGAGGATAATGTGTATGTGTCCATCTGTGCCACTGACATCGGTTCTGAGCCACATGGTCATCTAGAGTCTCTAGCCACTGATTCCTCTTGTCCCACGGACCCCAACCGGCTAGTCTATATCACCCCACATTATTCAAACCAACAGTCAAACACTTCATACATTCATGCCATGTTTCAGTCTGGCCATCTCGGGCCTTTCACCAGCCTGCACCTACTTCGACCAACATTGTGTGACGAGCCAGACGGTGACTCGGCATAAGTAACAAATGACCCAGACAACCGTCTCAGTCGATGAAGACTCACAACCTCGTCAACTAACTTACCTCTTCTCCACAAAACTCTACACTTCACTTCTGCATTACTCATGTGGTGACACTACGGAATACGGCCTATTCTACTAAGACAACGGTGGTCAAACACCTCAAGCCTTCTCATGTCTTCCACCTTCAATGGTCATGTTTCATGGCCATACAGTAGGAAGGACAGAGTGTACTGTTGTGCAGTACACGCGACCCTTAGTAGACAAACGGATATCACGGCGGCGACACAAGTGATGGAAGTTGGCAAAAGTCAGCCGAGCTTTTTGTATCCGTGCAGAGATTTCACCAACCACTGAGCCATCAGGGTTGATCCTACTTCCCATATGAGTGAAGTAGTCGACACACTCAACCATTACACTGTCTATTGTTAGCCGTAATGGTTGGAGGCCAGTTAAGCTGTTCCTCAAAGTGTTCTGCCCATCGTTCTAGTTGTCTTCCTCTGTGGATGAATCGCACACCAATCCTTCTCCGCTATAGTCTCACTAACCGTTGACCTTTTCAACCCAATTTTCTAAATAACTGTCTACTATTACCAATTGTCGCTGCCTATTAATATTCTCGGTGGTTGCGTAGATATGTTCATTTCTGGTAGATTGTAGTAGTATACACTCAATTCCCATAATGAATAAGTCACTTAACTTTAAAGGTAAGTCTTGATGGTGTCTGCCAAAACCTATGAAATAAAAATGTAAGTTCATTAAAGGCAACCTACAAAAAGAAAATAATGACTGTGAACTTTACAAATAACTTTACAAAATAGTTATTCAATCGTTGTTGTTGTTTTTTTTTCATTTAGATAAGATGCTAAACTGATTAACTAGACTGGTAAAATTACTTTACAACTATAATATTAATATATATGAGCATAAATAGATTAAATGAATAAGTATACGAGATCTTATCCATCAACTATTCACATATCAATAAATGAACTTTAATCTGTGCTTAGAAAAGATTTTTTTTTAAAATAAGAGACAGTAGTCAAGCGATATAAAAACTGATAAACAAACAAACTCACCTAGTCCAGCACCTTCACCATTACATACAACAGTAAATAAATTTGAATAATTAACGATTCCACCTTCTAAACCTGGTCCAAAAGCACGTATAGCAGATTTCTTATATGGACCGACAACAACCTAAAATATCAAAATAATAAAACATTATAAACAAACAAACAAAAATTCTTCAGTTGGAGGGCAACGAGTCGCATTTATTGTGTAAGGGTGAATGACACTATCTGGCTGCCCAAACTTCACTTGATGGGGTGTGGCTTGAAACCATAACACACCGGTAGAAAGTCATTTCTCTAAATCAATGAACTGCAGCTCTTGTAAGATGTAATATGAAGGATCTCTTCGACTTTACATCCAAGCTAAATGTCAGTAGGAAATGCTAGACATCGCTAGATGTATCGTCACTATTCACCAATATATCGCTTCCTAACATTATTATTATTATTATTCGTCCCTTGGGTTCCTAGTGGAACATAGGGCCTCAGTAGCATGTCGTCACACTCCTCTCTAATCTTTTCAACCTGGCTACACGACTGCCTGCCCACAAGCTTACATTTCTTCCTCACACCATCTCCTTCATGTCACCCTCGGATGCCGAACTCGTCGTTTCCCACTTGGCTTCCACTCGACTACCTGGCGCGTGATGTCCCCAAATGGTCCGCTTGCTAACATAATGGATTTTATACGTCAATAAGTAATGAAAACATCAAAATTCCTATTTCGTTTTCAATAGTAAATATCATACACGAGTAGATCTATTTGTTACTAGACTTGGTTCTTACAGGCTTCTTGCTACCTAAAATGGAGAATGCACCGCTGAAGGATGTCATCAGTAAGCCAGATATACACTATCTCTGATATGGTCGATTCATTGATTATCACTAAAATTTTGTCAGCATCTTTCATCAGGCAGGATAATATCGTCTCTTTACACCAAGTCAACAACATGACTTCCATGTAGTAGGTCAGTCCCTGTGAAGTCAGGTGTACCTTCGTCTATGATGAAGTTAAAAAGGAACTGTGACAGTGGACATCCCTGGAGAATACCAATAGTTGTCATCAATTCGCATGACAAATCTCCATAAGTCCTGAGGTGGTTGGATGATCTCGAGTAGAGAAATTTGATTAGCGTAATATACCTTCTCGGTACTCCCTTCACAAGCAGACACTGTCACAACACTTCACGATTGTCGAAAAAGCATATAAACAAACTGGGTAAAAGACCTGAGGTACGATCGTATGAAAGAAATCACTTTAAATAAGCACGATTCCATTACAGAGACTAGTGACGAGTATTTACTGAAATTCCTACACAGCTAACTTTTGGCCACCGCTTTTTAGTCAACCAGCTACTTTCAAATCAAACGATGGATAGGATATCACGTTTACTCAATTCGACATTCATTTACCAATCTTATCGCTCATGTGGAAACAGTTACGTTGGGTGTACAACTGGGTAGCCTACTTAGTGTATTATCAAATATCTAGCTGTATGTTTTGGAAAGGATAGGTAAAATTCATACGAAGCTCTCTTTTATCGCATACAGGCGATAGTAGTCATTCAAGGAGAAAACCAAAGCATTCCAAGTCGTTAGCCACATTCCATCGAGAGTTTTCACTTGTTACATACACCTGAGGTTACAGGAATTCGGACAAACAATCCTAGACTTTGTATTGATGAGTTCACGCAACTTTGATCCCTTCCTTTGCTAGAGAAGCCTAATCTACGAACAACCTAACCTCTCAGACTTAAAATTATATTTTTATTTATTTATTCACAGACTACAATACCAGGGAACCAAGTTTATCAAGTAATATTTAAAATGTCTATAGCGTAATCCAGTCTCAGAAGCCATTGTTTATCAGTCTTATGAAAATGCGTGGGACTGAATGATATTTACTAATGTATTATATTCTGTTAACAGCTACGGTACAAACAAGACACCCAAATAAGTGGACCAATAGTAAAGGGGAAATGTTTTGTGATCCGTTAAATTCTATAAAAATCACAAAATCCAATGTAACAATAAACAGTGTTATTCTACTCGAATTTTTACTCTGTAAATCACACCAAAAACAGTAAACCCAGTGCATCACTGAGGAATCTGTAAAAATTTCAGATCTCCAGAAATCCCCGCACAGACATGATGAAATTCATCTCTCACCACCAGGAAATTACAAGTAACCATAGTCAACAATTGATACTTATTGCACAACACGCCATCGTGATATCCGATTATCTAATAAGGGTCACGTATACTGCACAACAGTACACTCTGTCCTTCCTACTTTATGGCTGTGAAACATGACCATTGAAGGTGGAAGACATGAGAAGGCTTGAGGTGTTTGACCACCGTTGTCTTAGTAGAATAGGCCGTATTCCGTAGTGTCACCACATGAGTAATGCAGAAGTGAAGTGTAGAGTTTTGTGGAGAAGAGGTAAGTTAGTTGACGAGGTTGTGAGTCTTCATCGACTGAGACGGTTGTCTGGGTCATTTGTTACTTATGCCGAGTCACCGTCTGGCTCGTCACACAATGTTGGTCGAAGTAGGTGCAGGCTGGTGAAAGGCCCGAGATGGCCAGACTGAAACATGGCATGAATGTATGAAGTGTTTGACTGTTGGTTTGAATAATGTGGGGTGATATAGACTAGCCGGTTGGGGTCCGTGGGACAAGAGGAACCAGCTGCTGGAGATTGACTCTAGGTGATCACATGGCTGAGAACCGATGTCAGTGGCACAGATGTACACACACACACTATCCTCATCTCAAGGATGCTCTCCTGAATCTCACCACTTTCTCATTCTTCCTTTCTCTCTTTACATACTTTATATTTCTCTTTTGACTGAATTTTCTTCATCTTCCACTTCACTGTCTTTTTGCTTGATATACACTAATATGAGGTGTGGCAACTCGAACCGTTACGCAGTAATGCATCAGCAGGAAAAATATCATACAATAGTGGTGCAGATACATTCAGTTAACAGGTTCTAAATAGGACAAAATGCGCGTATTAGGCTCGGTTGCTAGCGTACACGTACACTAAAATAGTCTTAGTCATGCCAAAATCCAACCGAGTTAACAATCTTTAGTCAGCTAGCTAGTGAACGCTGAACGATACAGAGATAAAGAAGTAGTCACACATTGAAAAGTGATTAGTTACCATGGCCTGAGAAACAAAGATGAAATATAAAATAATACATTGCTAATAAGGCTATTTTACAGCTGCTACGATTATGTGTTAAACATAACACTTAGTAACTCTCTATGGTATGCACAACCATCTTGTTACAATTCGACTACTAGAGAACAATATATACATGTTGGCGTAAATAAAAATATGAAGTCGAATTTTTGGCATAAATTAAAATAACAAAAATCACTTCGAGTGCATTTTACATTTCATATTGTCGACAGAAGATTGAAAATACCACACCACTTTAATCACCATAATAAACTATTGTAATTATTTTTTAAAAAAGTTATGAATTCATTTTTTACATTTTTTTTTGAAAAGATTGATACATTAAAACATCAAATGAACTATTTTCAATAATACAAGGATTGTAAACTATTCAACAAAATGATTAGTTAATTATTAACAAATCATACCAATGGCATATACAGTGGCATGGTACAGCAAGTTTTTTTGTCAGGATGAATAAACAAAAGTTGACTTCAACAGAGTAGCACTATTATTATACGTCTCTTAGGTTCTCAGTAGAACATAGGGCTTCAGTAGCATGTCGGTCATTTCACTCTCTTCTCTTCAGTATTTTCAACCAGCATCCACGATTGCCCATAACCTCATAACCTTTCCTTTCTTTCTCACAACATCTTCTACATGTAACCTTCGCACGACAAACTCCTCGTTTCCTATTTCGTTTCCACTCAACGGCCTCACCTAACCTGGTGCATGATATCCCCACGCCACCTTCCCAGTCCATGTCCAATACACAATCCATCTCCACCTTCTTCCCGATATTCGTTGCGAGATAAATTCTTGGTTGGCTCGTTGACAGCTACAGTTCCTTTTCCTCATTCCTATTATTCTGGTCATCCGATCTCCATCTTCACTATCCACCCACCGTACGCAACAGCTGTTCATGTATATCTCCAGTTTATTGGAAATGCTTTTCATAACACGCCAACACTCTCAACCATCACATAGAAACAAACACTCACTTGACTCACATTACTGTTGAAAATACCCATCTTCTTTCACATGCTGAGTGCAATGCCGTGCACTGCAGTCCACTGCAGTAGATCTCCACACTGATTTCACATTATTGAACGCATGTCTTGCTTCTCCAATCCTGGTTTTCATATCCTCATCTGTCCCGCCACCCCCTGTAGTTGAAATCATGCTGTCTAGGTAGGTACCTAGGTACACAGGTATAAGAGACAACTTCTTTTACATTTCTCCCGTTCATGCTCATTGGTGCCTGTTGTCGTTGTTGTTGTTGGTTCGGTATTTTCATCACCTCTGTCTTCTCAAACAAATCTACTCAACAACCACTTGAAGTCAGTCGCGTCTTCGCTGCCTCGCCTCTTCTGCAAATTTGTTAAGTTTCACCTGTACATCTTCGAGTTTGTGCGAAAGAAGATATTAGATATAAATCATCATCGTTGGCGAAATCTAAATCTTCTAGGCTCCTTCCATCGGTCCAGAGTAGGTCCGCTTAAATAATCCTGTTCGTGAGTGTTAGTATGTATTTCATAAATACAAAACATTCGGGTAATATGTTAGCGCCGACAATATATCCGGATATCTATCAGAGGACAAGTATACTACTCTGCAGTCTGTTCTATCCTGTTATACGGTTGTCAGATATCGTCATTGATAGAAAACATAAAGCGAGTACAGGGGTTGTACCATAGGTGTCTTCGTAGCACTACTCATGTTGGATTGAATCACCATGTAAGCGATGTTGAGGTTACGTAAAGTATACTCGTCAAGAAATGAAAGTCGACTGAGATGGCTTGGGCATATATACTGGGCATGTCGAACCACCTGAACGTGACATACTGGGAGAATTCCGATTCGATTGCAAAAGGGAGGGTTCATGGTATCCAGATCAAAACGCGATACCAGTGGATAAAGTCTATAACTGCTACTCTAAGTCATCTGGGAAGATGCAAACTGCTTGGTTGGGTGTTCCGAGACAAAAAGAATCAGTGGATAAGAACTCAAGATGACATAGTTGAAAATCGGTCAAAATGGCGATGAAGCTTGAATACACCTGCAATAACTGTTATTTTCAAATTGTCTTACTCAATTTTGTTTACTTTGATATTACTCTTTTTCTATCAACCTGCTCTTTATATACTACTGTAAACTGTGGCAAACTGAACCAATGAACTTACGAGTGAGGTTCTACGTTGATTTTTTTTCTGTCTGTTTGTTTGACTAGTAACACATTACATCATTTACACCAAGACTGTAAGAACTTATGTTATCCGAAAGTTGGATTTCATGTTGTGATGGTTTTTTTCTTGAGAATTTGCTAAAGGATGTATTTAAGTTTGCAAAAATAGATCCCGTTTCTGCTAATCATTAAACAGTCGATGTGAAAGTAACAATACAGTAAAATGACTTGGAGATCTTAAATATGTTTGGTTGCATTTTGATTATATACAATTATTTCCACATTAATCACTTACACTTTTAACAACAGATAATTTCTTACGATAACACTGTTAGATAGACTGTGTAGTGTGTATGACAATGCATATGTTGCTTATCCGTTAACTTGAATACTAAACATTTTTTTAGTGCTTATATTTTCTCCATTTTAAAAACTGCGATTCGAATGATGTGAAACGTTAATGCTCCCAAAATAGCATTTGTCCTTTCAAGGCAAATCTAGTTGAAGAGTCCCAAATAGGACGAAGCGCGCATCATGGATTTCACTACTAGTCACTAACCATCATTACTAATATAGTTAAAAACATAGGTAATATCAAGGTATCCACGCAAGAGCCTATATGCCTATAGAGACTGATCAATTGTGTCCAATCAACGACGAGATAATACTAGCAATAACGTTAAAATTATACCTATCGCACAAGAAGTGGTTATCGTGGCTCGGTGGTCTAGTCGATAATGTGATCGGTCCCGAGTTCGAATCCAGGCGGGAACAACATCACTCACTGGAAAGCAGGTACATCCAGCCGACGAGTCCCGGACAGGACGAAATATGCATCCTGGATTCCATTGCTAGCCAATAACCATCATTACTATATAATTTTCCAGATTAAATATAGCACGTAACGAGATTACCGACTAGTTAGAGTATATTCCATCTGTTTTACTGCCTAAATATTTAAATTTACAAAAGTATTTGGTTTGTCATCCTCAACTTTAGTCTACACCACGGTCACAATATATTTCGGGAGGCAAGCGATTTTCTCTATTAAGTCTAATTCTATGTTTGTTTATACAGAGTTATCTTCATCCTTGATAGGAACATTTTCAATTTGGAGGTTTGTGGGGATTTATTTATTGTTTTCAGGTTGGTATTCATCATGGACTGATATCAGTTGGAAAAATATAGGAAAACTGGGAGCACTGGATAGCTATTCCGTCCAAGTATGAGACTCCATAGCAGTACGCACACACGACCTCTCCAGAGGTCGGACCCAGGGTCTTCAGGTTCCGCAGCCAGCGCGTTACTGTCGATCTATTAAGTCGGAACTCAATGGTTCATACTTCGTGACTAGTGGGGGCCAATCAAGTCGAACATGAGAATAGTTACTCAACGACGTCATCGGATGGAGGTAGCGCTATATCGTGAACTGAGAGAAGTCGGAAATACGCTAGGACGTTGATAGGACGAAACTGCTGTCTAGTGCCCCGAGGTTTTCAATGTTTCTCCAACTACTGTCAGCCCATTATGAATACCAAACTGAAAAATATTTTCGAAATATTCCTTCCGAATTATCACAATAATCAGCATACCCTGGGTTCAAACTCACCACCTACAGATGTGTGGACAGCTACCAGCTAGTATCACTAGCTCACACACAATAGATGGGGCTCATTGCCTACTTCACAAATATGTATGCGGTTGCTCTCACCTGAAAAGTATGCTTGATATGAAGCATAGACCGAGCACGTCTGATCATTTAAGTCTAGTATGCTGATTACGGTTTCAAGTAATTATGAGAGCATTTCGTTACAATAAACATGAAAGTCGTTTCCTGTCTTCAAAGTATAGTACTGCCATCCAATATCTTAGTTAAAGTTGAGTTCAGTAACAGTTGCTTTTATTTAAAACCTCATTATATCTTTCAGAAGTATTCCAAGACCGGTATGGACAGTCTATACCCGCAGTTCAAGGCTACTACCAATCGAAAAGTACAATATCTATCATCTAGGCTCCATAGATTAAATAGTATTATCCTGAAGTACATAGTGAACATGACAATGCTGTCAACGTAACCGAAGATGACCACCCTTAGGTCATAGCGATCAAAATTGCTTATACATTGAAGGTATATTGGGCAGAGCTATATACAGCTACTGCACATTTAAAGGAAATAATAACAAAACAGACTACACAAAACCATTGCACCTGTCCGATAAACAATCCCAACGTTTGGTAAAACTAACGCCATAATAATAATAATAATAATAATAATTCATTTTTCATATGATATACTTACAGTGTACGGACTATGTAGAATATGTCCATTGCCATATCGAATATTAAGTGTGTACTTCCCAGGTCGTTGTGGATTGTAGAAACAGTCCCATAGAAATTTATCAGTTTGACGAACCTCCACAGGTTCACTTTGACCATCTTTTCAGTACAAGAAATTCATTTTTTTTTGAAACAGGAGAAAATATAAATCACACAATTTTAGAAAAAAAATAAAACAAGTTAGCAGTTTGTACCTGTTAAACTCTTATGAATTTATTCATATTCTACTGAAAGATTAAATCTGATGAGTGTGACATGTATTTCTTATGCCAAACCATCGCCTACCGCGAAGTGGCATGCCAAGGGAAGCTACTCTATGTTAGAAGGAGGTTCAGAGTGGCCAGATCAAGACGTGGCACCACTCTATGAAATCACTGACTGTTGATCTCAGTCATATTGGCACATGTAGACTAGCAGGTAAGGGTTCTGAAGACAGTAGGAATCAGTGATTGAGAGCTCTTGATGAAATGGCTGAAATCTGTCGCAGTCGAGCAGATATATTCACTCCTTGACGTCTTCTGAAGCTTAAATATTTACACTAACCTTTATCTTCAAATCGCTTATTCTCTCTCTCTCACACACACACACACACATACACAACTTTGTCTATTTTGGTATCCACATGTGCTTTGGATACTACTGTGAAGTGTGGCAACTTGAACCGTCTGTCTGTTGAACGAGAAATAAAATTCAATATCTCATCATAACCACAGGGGATTAAAGTTGGCTCACTTCAAATCAAATAAAAGGATAGACTTTAAAACTAGTAACTGGAAGTAAAAGGATGAACAGACTAGCATAGAACCTCATATAAAGGCGTAAAATTCCTCAAAATGACAACAAAAAAAACTGGTTAGAAATTGAAAGACATGAAAATAAGATCAGTAAAGAAAAAAACCGGGGAAAATGCTTGCTCTGGTAGCATTTGCTCACGGTGGTCTACCTTAAATCATTCTAGGATATTGTGATGTCACTGCTTCCTAACATCTCCCGGATTTCAGAGAAGTAACATACATTTCTTTAACTACATGCATTTGGTACAAACGGATAACTGCATGGATTGGTGCTACATCTTGGTCTGACCACACACAATATACTCTCAACTCAATCCCACTTTAGCGGAACATTACAGATCAGTCGATTGAAACCAATATAGGACTTGGCATCACTGTGTAAGGGTTCACGTTACTCCTCTTTCTGTCGGCACTTCTATGTACGTAAGCAAAGTATAGCAGTATTCGACTCTGCCGATTGAGAAGTCTTATGGCAATGTCTTTCATTGAAAGGTGTACCAAGTACATCACCTTATTGAAGGCTCTTTATTCGAACAACTTCAGAATGTTCAGCATACACACAGATAGCTTTACTGACGCTTAAATTACCATCATATTGACTATTTGAGAAGTTATAGGGATACAGAAGCCTTATTGGCGTTCACCAATTTACATTATTTATGGAGTTACTGGGAAGTATACTACAAAACGTGATGGCTATTGGATTACATCATCCTTCATCAATCTTATGTGTTCATTCCTTCACTTCGATTTAGTTGCATCATCTTTTGCTCATTATGAATAATTTTATCTGAGCTTAACTCATAATATGACCTACTTACGTAATCCTATAGAGTTAAATTCTTCAATATTTTTTGATCACTAATCTTGTCGTTATTTTGATTTGAGAAATTTTCAGTCCTGACAACTTAGGTTGTGAGCAGTTGACAAGATTACACCGAGATAAAAATCGATCCATATTAGCCCCAACTCCCTAAATGTTGTTCTTGCTCTCTTAAAGTATGAAAGTATTTGATAACATGAGTAAAGATGAGTTGAAATCAAGAATTTTCGGAACAAAATGAGCTGATAGTTATTACTGTGGAATCATTGATTTCAACTCATACTTGCTCATATTGTCAAATATGTTCAAATTTCCTACGTAACTTTTATTCTTGTATGTAGTATTGTTCAGGTCACAAACTACCAACAAGTATTCATCGCCCATCCAGATAAACCTAGGACTAGGCATTACTGCGTAACACTCCGACTTGCCACACGTCATATCAGTACATCAAGTAAAAAGTCAGTCAGGCGCAACATGAAGAGAATGTAGTCAAAAGAAATATTAGGTAAGTAGAGAGAAAGGAAGAATGAGCAAGTGGTGAGATTCAGGAGAGCATCCTTAAGATGAGGATAATGTATGTATACAGCTGCGCCAATGACATCGGTTCTCAGCCATGTGATCACCTAGAGTCAGTCTACAGCCACTGGTTCCTCTTGTCCCACGGACCCCAACCGCTAGTCTATATCACCCCACATTACTCATACCAGCAGTCAAACACTTCATACATTCATGCCATGTTTCAGTCTGGCCACCTAGGGCCTTTTTCCAGCCTGAAATTACTTCAGCCAACATTGTATGACGAGACAATCGGTGACTAGGCACACGTAACAGATGACCCAGACAACCATCTCAGTCGATGAAGACTCACAACCTCATCAACTAACTTACCTCTTCTCCACAAAACTCTACACTTCACTTCTGCATTACTCATGTGGTGACACTACGGAATACGGCCTATACTACTAAGACAACGGTGGTCAAACACCTCAAGCCTTCTCATGTCTTCCACCTTCAATGGTCATGTTTCACAGCCATACAGTAGGAAGGACAGAGTGTACTGTTGTGCAGTATACGTGACCCTTAATAGACAATCGAACATCACGGCGGCGACACAGGTGGTGGAAGTTGGCAAAAGTCAGCCGAGCTTTTTGTATCCGTGTAGAGATTTCACCGACCATTGAGCCATCAGGGCTGATCCTACTTCCCATATGAATGAAGTGGTCGACACACTCAACCACTTCACTCTCTATTGTTAGCCGTGGCACCGTTGAAGACCGATCGTGGAGCAACAATTTGCATTTGGGTAGTGAGAAACGCATCCCAAACATTCTCAAATTCCCACTCAAAGTACTCAGAAGACTCTGCATGTTGTCGGAGTCTTCACCTAACAGGACAATGTCATCTGCATATTCCAGGTCTAACGAAAATTCTCCACCGATTAGGTCAACGTCTGTGTAATCAGGCGACGAGAGGAAACTTTCAACAAGTATTGATTAAGAAATACTGATTATTTCGTTTGCCGGTATACGCATGGTAATTGAATTATACTGATATGTGATTGCTCAGGTGCAGAGGATAATATAGTCGTAAATAAATAGTCATTTAGTAAACTGTAAGAGAGCTAAACAAAATTAACGTAGAACCTCTTACATAAGTATATAGGTTACGGTAGCCACACTTCACCATCGTAGTATACAAAGAACAAGTGGATGGAAAAAGAGTAACATTGAAGTAGACAAGCTTGTGTGAGAGAATAAACAATTAAGAGATAATGGTTAGTGTAAATATTCAAGCTTTAGATGTGAGGGAGTGAATACATCTGCATCATCGGGACGAGTTATCAACTATATCAGTAAGAATCCTCAACCACTGATTCGTTTCATCTCATGGACCCCAGCCAGTTAGTCATAATCTCTCAAGACGACTGAGACCAACAGTCAGCGACTTCGTGGAATGGTGCCACGTCTTGCTCTGGTTACCCTAAACTATCTCTCTTCCAACCTAATCCAACCACCCCTAGTATGCCACATCAAGGTAGAGTGTGGTCCGGAATGCGCAGTACATTTCCAAGCCATCTCAGTCAACTAAGGTTCATAACCTCATCAATCAACTTGCCTGACCTCAATACTGCTTAAATTGTAAATATCTATGGCGACTAATGAATCTATATCTATTCTGATGAAAAGCGTGACAATTTGAATTTATGAACTTGTGTTACACCTATAAGTCATCCTCCATGAGCCTAGAATACAGTGTAATTATATTTGTAACCCTATGATTCATAGGCAATAACTGAAATACCACTAAGTAACGGCTACATACTTCAGATCAGATAAAAGTCCTACGATTTATAAGAATCCCAGTCAAGATATGACCGGATAATTTCATAAATATTGAGCACCGAATGAAGAGGTTGATATTTAATACATTATACATTTGTATAAATCTTAGTAAGTAGATGAACCACACGATCTCGACCCATTATGTATATGTACATATGCTAGTATAATTTTCGATTATTTTTCTGAAGAAGCTCAAACCAAATTTCCACACAAAAATCTACAATAACTTTATTTCAAATACTGACATATGTTGCACAAGTTTCAAAGATTTATCTTGAATAATACAGCAAATGAAATGTATAATTCATTTTTAACAATAACCAGGAAGTTCATCTAACCAGCACAAAAATGAAGACACTATCTATGCAGCATATTGGAAGTCATAACAGAGCATTCACGATATACCTCAAAATTAAAGCTTTCAGTTATTATACTGAGTTCTACATCAGTTATAACAACAGAATTTTAGCACATATGAACAATGTTGAAGTCATGCGAATTAGTCGATAAAGTGTTAAACTTTCATCGACTGAGATATAGCTTGGATATGCACTGCACATGTCGAATCACCGCCTATCTCGATGTGCCACGCCAGAGGAAGATGAATTAGATTGGAAGAGGGAGAGTTCAGAGTAGTTGAATCAAGATATGACACCACTCCATGAAGTCACTGACTGATGGTGTGAGACGTGTGTATTGGGAGATGTACACCACGAGACGAAACGAATCAATGGTTGAAAATCGGTCACAATGGCGATGTCGATGTATTCACTCCTTGACATCTTTTAGAGCTTGGATACTTCCACTAACCTTCACCTATAGATTGATTATTCTCTCAAATAACTGTCTACTTTGATATCAGTCTTTATCTATCCACCTGTTCTTTTGTATACTACTGTGAAGTGTGGCAACTTGAACCAATCCACTTGTGTGTCAGATTTCAGTTAATTTTGATGTCTGTTTGTCTATGTTCAGTCAAGCTAATGTAGACTACCTCAAAAAAATTACATATGAAATCTGTAAACTTTAATGTGATGAACTGAATGTATGCAAAATGAATACAAAACTAGCTTATCAAAATGATTGTATACCTGCACGAGTCATAGTGACTGAAAGAGGAGCTTGATCACCAGCTTGTTCAGTATGAACAGAGAATTGCACTCGATCTTGTACACGTACACCACGTGATTGGACACCTCTACCAGTAGCATAAGCCAATTCAGGATGAACTCCTGAAAAATAAACAAACAGAAGAAAAAAAATAGGTAGTCAGTACATACTTTTCTCAATCTAACAAAAAAAATATCCACATAGTATATATGTATCATGCAAATAAACGCTAATCAATGCAAATGAAGCAAAATTATAAAAGACAATGCAAAATGTATAAGTATAAATAGCGCATGCAGGTATGAATAGATTCTAGATCACCTGCGATAACTTCTTGTATAGACGATTCTACTTTCAGTAAACTGTCTTCAGAAACACTTTGTTCATTAATATTTTCAAAAGAATGAACTATTGTAGATGAAGTTAGTTGATGTTTATCTTCTATCCTCATGCTATCATCATCATCATCATCATCATCATCAACTTCTGTTGTGTTGTTGATAATTGAATTTTCATAAATATCATCTTCCTTCTTTACTTCTGATAAGATATAGATAGGCTGTATTGTATTTTGATTGAGTTTTTCATCTTCTATCATAGAAGAAAGAACTACACCTGTAGTAGCTATTTTATATTATGAAAAAGGTAATAAAATATGCATTTCTTTTGAGTTATATGAGAAAAATTGAACTGAATTTCAAGATGATGCTGACAGGCTTTCATAAAGAGGAAATATTGAATTCAAAAGCATTAATTATCTTAAACAATTTTAACTTCAAAGATTTTCTACGCATCATCCTATCTCGAAAGGAGTTATAATTATTCCTATGAGAAATGGCAGTTAAAAGAAGAAGAAGACGACAACATGAGATAAGGTTATGAACCATCATTATCATTATCAACATAGGGCCAGGCATTACTGCGTAACGGTCCGAGTTGCCACACCTCATATCAGCACATCAAGTAAAAAGGTAGTGAGGGGAAGGATGAAGATAAGTGAATGCAATCAAAAGAAATATAAAGTATGAGAAGAGAGGAAAGAGGAGTGACAAAATGGTGAGATTCGGTATAGCGTTGTTAAGATGAGGATAATGTGTGTATACATCTGCGCCACTGACTTCGGTTCTGAACCATATCACCTAGGGTCTCCAACCACTGGTTCCTCTTATCCCGTGGACCCCAACCACCTAGTCTGCATCGTCCTACATGGCTTAAACCAACAGTCAGAGACTTCATACATTGGTGCCATGTTTTAGTCTGGCCACCTCGGGCCTTTTTCCAGCCTGGACCCACCTCAACCAACATTGTGTGACGAGGCAATCGGTGACTAGGCATACGTAGTACGTGTCCCAACCATCTCAGTCGATGAAGGTTCACAACCTCGTCAACTGACTTACGTCTTCTCCACAAAACTCTACACTTAACCTCTGCACTACTCACATGGTGACACCACGGAATACTTCCTATGCTACGAAAGCAACGGTGGTCAAACACCTGAAGCCTTTTTGTATCCTCCACTTTCAATGGCCATGTTTCACAGCCATACAGTAGAACAGAGCGGACTGCTGTGCAGTACACGCGACTCTTAATAGACAAACGAATATCACGGCGGTGCCATAGGTGGCGCAAATTGGCGAAAGCCAATCGAGCTTTTTGTATCCGTGCAGAGATTTTATGGGGAACTAACCCACCAGGGCCGATCCTACTTCCCAGGTTAGTGAAGTGGTCAACACACAACCACTTCACTCTCTATTGTTAGCCGCGGTACCACTGAAGACCAGTCCTGGAGCAAAAATTCGCATTTGGGTGGTGAAAATGGCATCCCAAACATTCTCAGGTTATGAACCTGCATCGGGTGAAGTGCACTGGATAAATATTGCGCATCCCGAACCACCACATACCTCAATGTATCATACTATGGGTAGTTGGATTAAGTTGGAAGAGAATTCAGGGTGGACATGACAAAAAGTGGCACCACTTCACGAAGTTGCTGACTGTTGGTGTCAGTCGTGTGAGGAGATGCAGAGTGTCCGACTGGGATCCCCAAGACAGTAGGAATCAGTGGTTGAGGACTCTTGGTGACATGGCTGAAAATCAGCCACAATGACACATATGTATTCACTTCAGCCGATGCACTTGTGTAAGAGGTTCTACATTGTTCTTGTGTCAATAACTATTTCTACAACAGAAAAGCGAAACTCAACTCCTAAGACTAAGTGTAAAGGGATACATGAGAAGGGGATACGTCTTAATCTTAGTTGGATGGAATTGAAGTCTAAAGGTGTATGAGGCGGAAAACATAACTGGAATAGATATGTACGTATAACTGATATCCTCCGTTGTTATACTGGATCGAATTGTTCGACCTCTGCTGGTGTATACGGATGCTTTGATATGCCTCGGTACACATGAAATCAAACTCGAGAATGAGTAACAAATTATGAAATATTTTCGTGTAACCCTAAGACCAGTACGCCATTACAACTTACGTTTGCCAGATTATCGAGAAAAACATAGTTTTATGCAATCAAAAATAGATGATCATACTTTGAGAGTTACAATAAATACATATTTTCAGAATTCATATACAACTTACTTGGTGCTATTTCAACTTGAAATGGAGAATTAGGAATTTGTTTCTCAGCGAATTGTACAAACACTTGATGCATACCAACTTCTTTAGGTGTGTATTCTACAAGAAAACAACCATCTCCACCAGGACAAGTGATACGTGGTTTCACAGTATCCTTTCTACCACGTGGATCAACAATGTAACAGTCGACTACTCCGTTTCCAGCATCTAAAAGATTCGAGTTAAATAAGTATACAGTTCACTAAGTATAACAGTGTGCTGAAATACGTGAACACACATAAACTGTTTGCCTTCCGGCCAAAATTTCAAATTCGCCAACAATTTTACTCGTTAGAGTTTTACGATGAATAACTGATAGTATTTTCGTACACTTGGTTTATCCACATAAAGTGTGTCACTTCTATGCGGCGGTTACTTATCCTTCAACATGTAAACTTCTACCACAGTAACCATACTTCATAATCCTTAGCCGTGTCCATTATCCACTCTCTCCGTGTTTACGTAACACTTGATGTTAGACATAGATTTTCAGCTGATAAAAACGAATTGATTAAATGGGTTGTGAATACATGAAATGCTTAGGGAATGTTTCGTACGTGAAGATAGAGAACTGGACCACTGTCTTATTGATTGTTTGTTCAATATGTATGTTGAACTGGAATTCTTTGATTTAATGAGTGGCTGGCCAGTCGGTGACCAGCTAACTACTGGTTCAAACCATGTTGCAAACAAGTTTGTTTCAACTTTGATCATTACCTCATGACATGAAGACAAATTTGTTAGAGCCACAGAAATCGTGAAAACCTTCAAGTCCAATCGACCAGTTGTTCATACCCACTAACTGAGTTAGGTTCAGCATTCGAACAAGAAGATCTACCTGGAAAGTTAGTATAGTGACGAACTCAGGAACGATATGGACGCTCATACAATGAACCACGCCTATTGTTTGAGGACTACTGATACTACCTGACTGCTAAGACCTCATTAGGTGGAGTGGGGATCGAACACACGACCCATTGGCTGGTAATCAACTGCTCAAACGAATGAGCTATAGCCCCACAATGACGATGGACGGAGAGCCACATATCACTCACTCAAACGACAACTGGAAAGCGTCCTCGGTGATTGAAGTGAAAGTGCGACATGGTTTGCGAAAAGATTTTGTGACTCAGTTAACAGAATGCCAGTAGCTTGGAGGCAGCTGGTTTGAATCTTTTCGTGTCCTCAATTTTAATCCCAAAGTAAAGAGAATTCGACAAAACACAAATATCGTGAATAATTTCACCTGCAGGGTAAAAATTGCATGTTAACTGTTAAAATATACTTGAACTATCCGTCGTATGATGCATTACAAAAATCTCCAACCGATCATATAGCGAATTACAATACCGATGCCAAAGGCAACTATATAACTTACTATGCGTAACCACATTGAAAAAGGTACGTCGACCGACACAGTTAAGTTCTGATTTCTGTAGTCCAGGACCGTTGACAGTCACTTTACTTGGATCCACAAATACACCTTTGATATTAACACGAAAAGGTGAATTCGGTATCTCTTGACCACCAAATTTAATAACGATACGATGTTCACCTTCTACACGCGGTTCATATACACAAGAATAGGTTTGACTTGTTTCGTTATCAAAAACAATTTCACACTAAAATTTAAATAAGAATAAAAATTAGTGATTAGTCTGGTGAATAATAACTTTGGTTAAGTGGTGGAACGGTGGCTCTTTGGTTAAAGAAGCCAACTTTCAGCTATGAATCTCAAGCTCAAATGATGTCCCACATATCTCCGTCTCACACATTAAATATAATTCATAACGCAAAGCATAAATATGTAATGATTTGGAATGCATTAATGAATATAGGAAAATAATGAAATCTGCAACATAGCCAGGTCCATACAGGCAGACAGAATAGACACAGAGCCTCCCATACATCGGTCCAAGTTGCCACACTTCATCACCGTAATATGCAAAGAACAAGTGGATACAAAGTGATATCAAAGACAAAGTAGTGTGAGAAAATAAACAATCTGAAGATAACGGTTAGTGTAAGTATCTAAGCGCTGGAAGATATCAAGGAGTGAATACATTGGCATCACCACTGCAACCGAATTTCAACCATGTCACTTTGAGTTCTCAATCACTGGTTCGTTTCATCTCGTGGACCCCGGTCAAGCAGTCTACATCTCCCAACACACACGCTTCAGACCAACAGTCAGCGACTTCATGGAGTGGTGTCTCATCTTGTTCTGACCACCTTGAACCCTTTTCTCCAACATAGCGTGGTCTCAGAAGACCAGAAATGAGGCTTCGATAGCTTTGATCGTTCGCAATGACCGCATAATGAGGTTGGGAAAGATGTAAGGAGTCTAAGATTAGTATCAGAAGGTGAAGGCAAAAGAGAAGACAGAGTTGCGCAGAACATATTATGTTTGATTGCGCCCTATATAATACTGGAAGTGTGAGAGCGGTTGACACTACTCGGTTACCCAAACTGCATACTATTCTACAAGGTGAATTCTGTTGCTTCCCTAATTAAGCATCTGATATTCTGTTTATGAACTGCAGTTATTATCTGATAGAATGAAGTCACTGAAAGATGGGCAACTTTCATCGTGGTTACCAAAACAATTCTTCATTGCGTTTACACCAAATATTCGAAGTGAATCAATGTTATATTTTTACTTAAGGTGTACTCCACAAAAGCATAACTGGGTTTTTTTCGCACTAACTGAACAGCTACGTTTTTAGCACACATATATACTTCGTGTATCATGCATTTACTCGTAAAAATGTGTGCAGTGTCACGAAAGTACTGATGAACTTACTAAGTCTAGTGAAAAAAAGTCAGCAATCAAATTATCAAGGCTCGCATAATATGGAAACAATTATCAGCTTTATTCTGAGCCAATAATCATTCTCCACTATACCCTACTGGTATCTCATTCACTGTTACTTTGAGACTCACACTTACAACCAACAGACGTTCATTTGCTCACACAAGCCTAGAACAGTGTCTTATCTCTTGAAAAAGCGAATATCCATCTCCAATTACCAAAAAACATCTGTAAGAGCCGCAAAACATTATTTATGCATGAAAATTAAAGCCTTTGATTGATAATTTATGACCGAAGCAAATTTTTTCGTAGCTAGAGTGTTCAGCGACACTTAATGAATGGCGTTTTGAGATAAATCAGTAAAGTTTGGAATAAGATATAAACAGAATATCTATCGCTAACAAAAGACCAATATTTCAATCAATCTAAATAGGCTATTACACTTGATTTGATCGTATGTACGTTACCGAGTGAATTATGCTCGCTGGTGACTATACCATACAATAGGCATAAATCATTCAGGCTTATATAGCCTGTAAAATGAAATAAGCAACTTTTTTTTAAAAGGTATGAAAAATAAACGACAACACAATAGCAAAATTAACGTAGAACGTTGCACAAAAGTGCATCGGTTCAATTTGTCATACTTCATAGTAGTATACACAGAATAAGTGGATCGAAAAAGAATGGAACATACGCCTTAGACTAATGGTAAGAGACTTAGTGGATTGGTGTCACGCCTTGGTCTGGCCACTGTGAACCCTCTTCCAAACTAATCCAACTTCCCCTAGCATTCCACATCGAGGCGGAAGATGGCTTGGCATGCGCAACACATGATCTCAACAACTGACTTGCCGATCTGTCTTGCTTAGTACTTTTCGCCTGATCTCAATATTGGTCACATGGTTATTCCAACAAACATGAGCGATTTGACGAAGATACCTACGATCGAAACACTATGAATTCTTCATGTTTTCTACTTTCAAAGGCCACGTTTCACAACCGTATAGGACAGAATGGATTGCAGTGCAGTACACTCGTCGTATAATAGGTAGTCAGACATCTCGCCAGTTCGCGCCATAGATGACGCAAGTTGGCAAATGCCAAAAGTGCACTGTGCATCTGTGCCGAGATTTCGTCAACAACTAGCCCTTTTGGGCTGATGTAACTCTCTAAATAAATAAATTGGTCAGTGCTTTTAAACAGTTCACTCCCTATTATTGAACTGCAAGTACCTGCAGTCTACCAGTTCTCCAGCACTATCTTACGTTTGACAGGTGCAAGCAAAACGCATGCCAGTAGAACATACTCAGTTTATGCTTAAAGTCTTCACGAGACCCCGCATTTTGTCAGTATCCCCACCAAGCATGACAATATCATCTGTATACTCCCAGTCAATCAGATGACCTCCACAGAGTAGGCCAATCCCTGTGAAGTCAGACATACCTGAGACTACGTCCAAAGTAAGTCTGTGGTGAAGTTAAATAGAAACGGTGAAAGTGGACATCCATGACAAACACCACTAGTTGTCGTCAATTCAAATGAAAAATCTACATAAGCCCGAAACAGCTGCGCGAAGTCGGGTAGAGAACTCTGATAAGCGTTGTTTACTTGCTTGGTACTACCTTCACAGTCAGGCACTGCTACAATACCCAACAGTCAACGGAGTCAAATGCCGTCTTTACGTCAAAAAATACGGCAAGTGTCGGTCATACGCTGGTGGGTATGCCTGTGTTCCAGAACCCGTCAGAAGGTTAAAATGTAAACGGTACACCCTCACCCAGATCTGAAATTTACCTGGTTTTCTGGAGTTGGCTGTTCTTGAGCTCCAGTAAGGCATCAGTTAACTTTGGGTCCTAGGATACTAGATACAATAATGGTCAAACTATTTCCCCTATGGTTGTCGAAGGAAAATTTCCCTCCTTTCTTGTAGACTGGGATGGTCATTGAAGTGCAAAAGACTGACACCACTACCTCTGATTCCTATGTACTATCTAGTACCTCCGTCAATTCAATTAACAACTTCCTACCTCTATCCATTAAGAAGTCTAATACTACAGAAAATCAAGCGACCACATTGTGAATATACAAACACCTCGATAGCTGGAGGAATTTGAACTCGTTTCCTACTCGCTGGAGATGAAGTGCCTTGGGCAATCAGCCAAAGCTCGACATAAAATAGACACATCGTGTATTATTTCAACACACCGATAAGAAAATGGGATGGTTGCCTAATTCGTTACCGAATGCATATCATCTTTCTTTAGTCACTGGATACACTCATATTTGGTGTGTCATAATGTTACACATATCCTTCTTGCCCACCAATTAAGATACTTTCGTTGTTTTTCACACCACTGTTCATAGTACAGTAATAAGATTTATCTCAACCGTGCAGCAGGACAATGCATACTGTTACGTTGTATTTAGACCATCTTAAATCCTTCTAATGACTCTCACCAGTACATAAAATAACTAAATTTATTCAGAAGTCCTCAATGCTAAGTTAAAGTTACTTGTATTTTATAAATGCTATTGCTGTCTCCGATCTTTACTGTGCTTACTATTTGTTTATATCATAACCAAACACGTTCCACCATATAAAAACTGCAGGAGAGCCTCCAGTCAATCTATCCATTTGTTCTTATTTAATTACTACAATAGTAGTACTAATCAATTACAAGCACTACTTTCTTAAAAACCGTCATGAGTACCACAGCATACATCACCTATGAACATCTAGTCAATATTTCGAAAATCCATATTATAAACAAATAAAATATAGACTTCGAGCATGAACAAAAACGAATCAAACTTATGGTGTGATCTATGAATGAATATGGTGGAAATTCACTGTTATGCACACATTCATCCATTATTAATTATTTATCTGTCAAGCTTACATAACAAACAATAATGAAAATTCTTTATTTTCTTGACGTACTTAAAGCAAAAGAAAAAAATAACGTCAGAGAAGATGCTAAGAAAAAATTACCATACCGTTTCTCTGACACCCCTTGAATTGAATACGAGTACATCTAATTGACCCTTTCCAGCACCAACTGTTTCCACATAGAATTTAGCTGGAACACCAATTCTGTTTTCATTCATCTCAAGGCCTAATAGTTATTCATAAAAAAGAAACAACAGGTCATGTTGTATATGCAAGAGACATATGTGCAGAGATTTTGAATTTATAATGAAATGAAAGGCGTATAGAAACATTGAAAACATTCAGCAAGACATACAACACATAAAAAGCATGTCAGTAATTATACAATCCATCTCAGAGCATAATACATTAGGTTAAAAGTCACACAAAGTGAAGACTTATGTTACTACCCAGTTGCTCAGATGTACGTAGGTAGACTGATGTCCTAGCTCCAGTTTTGAAGATGTGTTTAAATCAATAAATAGAAACTCATTCAACAACCTTGTGCATGTTTATGCAGTAAGCAATGAATCATACCTATTTTGTAAAGGTCAATGATGCTACCTCGCTGCCATAACCCCAGTAGGCAAAGTGCTGTTCGAACTCGCGACCCACTATTTGAAAGCCAGCTTCCCAAACCAATGAACCACAGCTCTACTTGAACTAATAAGTTAGACGTCCACTTTCGGATAGATTTCTACATAGCAGACTATGAACATAAGTACCAATAAGCTTAACTGCCATGATATATTTCAGCACTGATTAAAATAAATCGATAAGTGAAGTCAAGAGTGAAACGCAGTATTTAAACTGACAAGCGTATACCAACAACTAATGTCAACTCACAACTAAAGAATTTTACTGATTTGCTATAAATTTATTTGCTGACCGAATTTTTAATACAATTAGTTTGTCTAGTAAACTTGAATAACCCAATATGAACATTCGCAGAACAAGAGGATATGACTTAATTTCATAGGATTTTAACCAGCTGTTCACAATCTGAATAAAGAAGTCACTGTAATATATTAGCATACTCTACATGAAAAAGCCTCAAGATATCAGACAGTGTTGATAGCACTACAAAAAAATCACAATTTAGAAAACAAAAGAAGGTTAAAGTAGTAAATTTAGCCAAACTAGATATATAATGCATAAGGCGAGGTAGCGAGCCATAAAAAATAAGCGAGACGCGATTAAATTATGCATAGTGAACGCAAATGGCGAAAATCCTATAAGCAAAATGAAATCATATACTTCCACAAGTTTTGTTCCCCAGTGTCCTTCAAAAACAATATGACGGGCTGCTAAGACAGCAATAGGCTGAAAATGATAAGTTTAAGTATCACTCGCAGAGGAAAAGACCAAAACGATGGGTCGGATACGTAAGAAATTGCGTCAAATGGTCCCTAGCCGCCCTTCAGTCTCTCGGATACCGAAATACGGCTTCAATCACTTCTAGATGTTAAGAAAGTTGTAGATATCAAGAAACCCTGAGGAGCAGGTAGCCCCAATGAATCGAGGTTTACTGGCCATTTAACCCGAAGTGCTAACCAGTGTACAAGAATCATACACGATCCCCTCTGACTGATTTGTCTCCGATTCTCCCAGTCTCCAAGGTGGTAGACAAACTCTATCCCGTGGTAACCACATGGGAATCACACTGAGAAAAACATTGAGTCCAAGATTCCACCATCTGTAACAATCAGATGCCTAAGCGAAGCTCCGGAAGAGAGAATGCGAAAATAGCAGCTGCGTCTCACACACATCTGAGCACGAGTCAGCCATACCTTCACCCTTCATCAGATCTCTGAACAGAGGTGTACTTACTAGCATCCAACACTGGCTGTACTCCACAATATGAAGTTGACGTCTGACTCCATTGGTCGAGGGATGTTGCGACAATGCTTTTCAGAGAAAAAGACGCCAGATAACTACAGCACTATGCTGAATCCTCTGTACTAGAACACCTGTGGATGTCAGTTTGTGGCAAACTAAGCTGTGACATCGATCTGCAAAGTCTTTGACTGTTGCTCTTAACCATGTAACGAAATGTAAACCTCTTGATTGCGGTTCACATAGCATCCGGAACAGCTGGTTGGAATGGCTCAGAATCAACCTGTGTTTCGCATACATCCATACACCTAACGACTCATTCAATAACCTTGTGCACGTTCATGCAGCAGATAGTCAGCTCCACACCTATTGTGTAAGAGCTGAGGACACTACCACTCATTACCGACACTCTCATTGCGGTGTCACATTTCGCTACTGTCGTGTTCTCTTCTAACGATTTTCTACCACTTCTGATCACATGCTTCTCCGTATTTCACTATTTTTCATATCATTGTCTTGTGTCTTAACCTGCCTATGGAAGAAGTAGCAACTTGAAAAGTTACGCAGTAATGCTAGATCCAATGGTGACATTGACTTAATTTAGGCTCGATGAACCCGAAGGCAAGACCATCTTTCCATCTTGTTTAATCACAGCGAGAAGTTTTAAATATGACCGTCACTGCAACGACTTTATTTTACCTTATGGAGTAATTTCAGGCCATTACTTAAGCCAAACAACAATACTGACCATCAACTGAGACTAACATACTGCTAACAGCAGTATTGAGGAATAAAAGCGTATACGAACATCGGATTTGTGTCAATTTCAACTTAACATTACATAATACATCTTAGTTTTACTTAGTGACAAAGTTACCAAAGATATATGATCTGTATAAAACTGAGAATTTTTGTGCAAATAAACTTGAGGTGAAAATGCACAAGTGTTCAGTGTTGTTATCAACAGATCACAATAAGAGCATGAGGTTAACTTTTGTTATTGAAAACTATTTGCCAGTAAGTTCTAAACCTTACAATCATATGATATGGACAAAAGAAATTAAGCTTTGCACAATAAATAGCGTCTGGATTTAAAGTTGATTTCAAGTTTAAATCCTATGCAAGAAAAAATCCTGTAAATTAGCCACAACAGGTTATTATACAATATTGTTCATCACCTCAACGTACGATAATTTCCCCAGACAGAACGCATGATGTAAATAAGTTACTGACTTTTCTAAGGACACCAAAGACACTTTGAGTTAAGAGACTTTTGGCTGATTTGAAATTTCCACATTTTAGTCAACAAATCAAATATTGCTAGATTGCTGCTATAACATCTAACTGATAAACAAACTTATGCCATTGCATGAATGGTATTAAATTATGAAGATTATACTAGAATACAGTCGGAAAACGTAATGTAAGCATGCAGCACTATCGATGTTCAATGAAGAGGATAACTTAAATAAATGACTAAAAATAAAGAATTTACCTGGACCGTATGCGCGTACTTTTGAAGGATTCAGTTTGTCTCTCAACGGTGCTCCCTCTTTGAGACGAGCATTAGGAAACTGGCTGATGTAGGTCATCATAGACTTTTCATCGACGTTAGGATCAACCATTTCTTCTGGCCGAATCAACTGAGGGACAGCTAACCAGTTTTCCGCAGCTGTCATTGCTTCGGTAGCATTACGAAGAGGTTTCTTCTGATCCCAACTAACCCAATCCGGACAAAGACCAGGAGCACATGCATCCACGAGAGCTCCAATGGCTATTCCATCGTTCCAATCCGTCGTAAAATTCCGAACTGGAATGCCTGGCATTTTCTGTTTGACCCAACCCAGTAAACGCTGTTTAGGACCTTGCGTTTGACTTTTTCATCCTGTTATGAATGTAAGGCTAATTTATTAAGGAGTACAGCTATAAAAGTAATTGATATGACTACAAACATGATGCATCTTAAGCACACACTAGAGAAAAACCACACTATAAAAACAGATCATAACTTTAAGGGCAACTAAATATTTTTCGCATTCATCGTACATACTTTTGAATGAAATGAATAGTACTTTAAAGGGTGGTGAAAGAATATGACCAAAGAATTTCAATAACGTCAACGTACTTAGTAAATTTTACTTTCCCACATGTGACAGCTTCAAAAAATTACTACGGTTAGGGTTGTCACACCTCACGAGAGCAAGAAAAAGACCGATGGACGCACAAAGACAAAATAAACCAATAGGATAAGGGAGAAAAGTGTAAATGAAGATTAATGAGATGTTCACAGTGACGACAAAGTGAACACATGCTACTGCAATGGATTCGACCCGTGAGTTTCAAACTACTGAATCCTGACATCTAGGAGAGCTCTGACCAGGTAGCCTATCCTTACCTGTGGGTGAAAGGCTAACAAATCCCTGAAGGTGGCATGATTTCTCAAGGATTCTATATCTTAGTGTATGAGTGTTATTCTTCTTCCTTGGAACTGTCCATTTCAAACGACATAAAAAAACTATCTTAAATTATGGAAAAACCACCAACATCTAGAAGTACGTTTCTCGCACAGTTATAAACTACTGGATATCTCTATGGCAGGATTTACCTTTCTCATTTTCGGCTGATACTTTTATAGCGAGAATAGATCTCAAAAGAATTAATATTAGTAAGCATCAATATAGGTTACTGGTCTTATATCCTTATTCATGAAAACATAAGGGTCGTGTGTGGTCCTTGCAACCATTCATAATTCAATATTTAAAACCACTGGATTTGCTAGTTTATATGAGAACTATTTCCACACTTCGATTAACAGCACACCAGACTACATGTAAACATTTAGAATGCCATATCGAAATTCTCTTGCATACAACCGAAGTGACTTAATACTATCTTTGTTGTGATAATGAGCAACTATTAGTTGCTGGGTTTTCGTTAGGCAAAGTTTGTATCAAGGAGGCGATTACATAAGTGTCTGATATGAATTCACTGTGTCAGGTGAAATATGCAAATTATTTACAAATTACTCACCTGTGGCACATTATCGTCTGAAATCAAAGGCACTGATATTGAGTAGTGCAAAATAAGGGCCCATACTAGGCCAAGTATAAGCTTCAAATTGCAATCGACAATATGACTGCTATCTAAAAGAATGTGTGAAGGAACCAATGCGCATACCTATGCTTATGAGACGCAAGCCTTCACTCTCCTCTAGATATTTCAGTACAGTAGTGACGTTTTCAAGTTTTTGAGTTATAAAAGATGGTCTCTTATTGATGTGACGAAATTTATGACCTGACAGTATTTCGACAAGTGCAGCTAGACGCAGACCATCACTTAAATCGGTCTCCAAATCGTCGATGTGCAAACCGACCTTTTTCAGATGCTCATTTGTCCATCGCGTGAAAGTGTTCTTCTGGAATATTTTCCACTGAGCATCCTCAGCTAAGTCCTTTTCAGCCATCCGAGTTTCTTCGTCTGAATCAACATAACCGCACTCAGCGTCGTTGATTTGCTCGCCGTGATTCATCGTTCTGATTGGTCAAATAAGCGTCACTTCTCGCGTTATATCCTAGTCAGAGCAAATAAACAAATGAATCAATAGACAAAAGTATTACGAAAACACAATTAGAACTCTTCATCAACAGACAATAAATTTGGTCACTCAGACAAAAAGCGATCAAGTTCAACAGTGAGACCTTACTCCATCCTTCGATTTCGGAGTTTCCGCTCCTTTTTCACGTGTTTCTCTATAGACATTGGTCATCCACGTAAAAATGTCCCAGAAGTTGATACGATATCTATTTAAAGAGCCTGCAGAACTACTGGCAATATCACTGGTGTATTGTGACTTCTGTCTGTACAGCTACCTGAAAATGAAAGTCTTGCGATGAGTTCGAAACGCAAACTGGCTGTAAAGAAAAATGTTATGGGTTGCCGTTTCGATGATACCAGGAGGAACACAGGAAAACTGAACTGAGGAATTAGTAGGCAGGGATAGTTTATACTGCTTAATAAGGTAAACGCTGAATTAGTAGTTTGGGCGACTCACGGAGCATAGTAACGCCAAATAATGCACTCCCGGTTATTACCTTCAGTGTTTGTCAAAAGGATTCACTTGTTTTGCATGCTGTCCTTTGTGATTAGGCATTCCAGAGTGGTCACAATCCTAGGGGAAGTAAATTGAGCATGATTACGGTGTAAGTGCTTTCGAATGATGCATCTGTACAGGATTGCTCTGTGACAGTCATCACGGCAATATGATGTTATCTAATTTAGATAATTCAACCCTTGAATGACCTTATAAGCCATTGTCATTTAGCCCTCTCCTCTGTAACCTCAGATATTCTCAGCGGCCGTTGAACGAATGAGTGATTTGCCACTCTCTATAGTTGTCTGAGAACGTATGAGTTTCACATGGTCATAGAAAAACCAAGGTTTCATGCACCTTAGGTTACCATGTCAGCTTCAGAATAGATCTGTTCGGAACAAAAAGTTTGGGATGTATACAACAGTGTCATGAACTTTCTCGATGGCAGGATGCAATTACATCTGGAATAAGTCATCAAATATGCGAAGTGTTTGAGTATTAGCTAAACAGTCTACTATTGGATGATTCAAAGATAAGCGGATAATCTTCAAATTCGAACTGAGCCTGCTTCAACACACCTCTTGTATGCCATAAATAATAGTATCTAATGTATAGCCTAACATTGTACACAATAGTCATTTCTCATTACCAAAATGGTCAAACCTGTAAACTGGTTTGTATTCAGGTAACCTTTGTTGTGTGAAATATATTACTATTATTATTATGGCGTCAGAAGTTGTATTCAGTTTTTGGTAAGACATATAGGCATACCCCTGAACAACCAACATTTTGCATCCCCTTTATGCTGATTAACAGCTGCATATTAGGAGACCATAGTTCAGATATTCATAATCGGATATGTCATAGCCTTTCCTTAAAATAATATTCCTGCTTCAGATCAGCAAATGCACTGACATTCCTGAGCACTTCCACTATCTAAGGTGTATTCTCTTCCATCTCTTCCTAACAGTATCTCCCCGTGGATACGGTACTGCTTGGGTCAGTACTGATATGCATTGATCCGTGTAAGACTGGCCACATGTTAGTTATCACCAACAAAACCAGCCTCAAAATTGGTAAGCCTGATTATGACTTAACTGGAGTCCCCAATATCCAATATTGATAGTGCGAGCATAGAAAACTGGTAGTTTTTGATCTCTCGCATCTACGTCTAAGGGCTCGGTCCGAATTGTTCGGTTCACTCCTGCGGTGGACGAGGAAATCCACTCTGCTTTCTTGCTTTCAGCTTTGTAGGGGTGGATGTTTCGCGGGTTAGTAAGTTGTAATTTGTAGAGTCATTGGGTAGTGGTGAAAGAATGAAGACAGAATAAAAAAAGGGAAGAAAGAGGAAAATAATAATAAGGGAAGAGAAAAGGGAAGGAGAAGAAAAGGGGGGTGAAAAAGAGAAATAAGAGCGAAAGAAAAGTATTTAGGAATCGCACGAATGGTCACGTGGGTCCGGTTCCTATAGAAGAATTAGTAGGTAATGTGGGTGTATTAAGGAGGAAGATAGTGAGTGGTAGTTAGGAGGGAGTTGGGGGCTACTGAGGTTGGTGACTACCTGAGTACGTCCGTGGTAGTCCATGCGAGGTGACATAACTGTCTAATCGCCTCTTGAAAGAGTCGACTGAGGGAGCTATAACGATGTGTCGCGGTAAGGCATTCCATAAAGCACATACTCTCAGGGAGAAAAATTTGGACCTGAGTATGGTGTTGGCTCTCTGGTGTGCTATCTTAATGGGGTTTCCTCGTGAAGATCGTTGAGTTGCAGGCAAAATTGATTTGTTTGCATGGTCTGCCTGATGGGCGATCTTGTATGCCATAATGAGGTCACCCCTTTTCCTGCGATAACCCAAGGTAAATAGGTTGAGGTGTTTAAGTCTTTCAGGATACGTCTTTCCCCTTAGCCCCACAACAGATTTTGTTGCAGTTCTTTGTATTCTTTCAAGGAGATTAGAGTCTCTCTTGAGTGTTGGAGGAGCCACCGTATTGAAGACCTCTAGGTGCGGCCGCACGTAGGATTTGAAAATGGTGAGGAAGAGTTCGGGAGTGAGGGCGCCAAGCTGTCTACGCAGAAAGTGTAGAATGGCGTTCGCTCTGGTTGTCATACCTTTGTAGTTGGAGCTGGTGTCCAAGGTGTCGGAGAAGTTGAGCCCCAAATCTTTCTCCATGGACACTCTGGTGATAGCACGGTTGCTCAACATGTACTGGAAGTCGGTCGTACTTGCCTCATTTTTACTGATGTGCATTACTTTGCACTTTTCCAGGTTGAAGCTCAGGCCATTTTCCGACGACCAGAGCTCGAGTTGCTGCAAGTCCTTTTGTAGTGCTGTACAATCAGCTTCTTCGTTTACCACCCTCCAAATTTTTATGTCGTCAGCGAAGAGGAGGATGGGTGAGGATATTTTATCTGGCAGATCGTTGACAAACAGGAGGAACAGAAGCGGTCCTAGGATTGCTCCTTGGGATACTCCTGACGTCGAGGGTCTCCACTCCGACCTTATTCTGTTTACTTTAGTGCAGAACTGCCTCCCTTCCAGGTACTCCTTGAACCAAGAGAGTAGGGGTCCACTTATACCAGCTGACATGATCTTGTGAAGCAGTACTGTGGGTGGGACACTGTCAAATGCTTTGGCTAGGTCGAGAAATACAACATGTACAGGTTTTCTGTTATCCCAGCTTTGTGTCCAGTCGTCCCAGGCGGTTAGTAAGTTGGTGGCACATGAGCGACCACTCCGAAAGCCATGCTGAGCAGTATGGACAGTGTTTTCCCTATTGAGGAATTCCCAGATGGTGTCAGCTACCAGGCTTTCCAACACTTTCGACACAATAGGGAGTAGAGCAATCGGCCTGTAGCTGCCAGGGCTTTTTCTGTCTCCTCCCTTGAAGATGGGTGACAAGATGGCTCTCTTCCATTCTTTAGGGAGTTTGCACGAGTCTATTGAGTGCTCAAAGAGGTTGCGAAGTGGTTTAGTAAGCACCTCGGCGCAGTTTTTCAGAACCACTGGTTTTAGGTTATCGCAGCCAGGGGACTTGCCCGGACGTAGCCTAGATAGCTTCTCGAACACCTTTTTCTCTGTAATAGAGACGTGACAGAGGTATTCGTTATTTACGACCTGGTCGGTGTCGTAGCGAGTCGGTGTGGATCTTGTGTCAGTGCTGAGTTGGGCTTGGAAGTGTGAGCTCAAAAGCTCGGCAATCTCTAGACTGCCTAGTATACTCCCGTCATGGCCTGTGACAAGATTCACTCCCTTACTGGTCGACTTTCTTCTCGACATGAAGCGGTACAAGTTTTTGGGATTGCTTTGTAACCTCGCCGCCAAGTTTGTTTGATAGGAAAATCTGTCGTTACGCACTCTAATGTTACAGCGGTTGCGAATCCTTTTTAGTTCAAGAAGTCAGACTCCCTGCGTGATGTACGCCACTTGAACCAAGCCTGCTTCTTGCTCTGGATAAGCCTCTCTGTCCCACGCTTTAACCATGAGGTTCTCATTGATTGTCTGTGTGTTACTTCTGGTACACTGTGACTGATGGCCCCAGTGATTATTTTCTTCACCTCCAACCAGTGTTCATCTATTGTGAGATGAGTCCAGTCTACTGGCCATGATGCATTCATGAGGTAGTCCCTCATGGTCTCATAGTTGGCCTTGCTGTAGCAAGGGAAGGTGTTGGACGTCTCCAGTTGCAGAGCCTCCCTAGTTATCATGGAGAAGGTGATTACAGCGTGGTCACTGAGGCCAAGGGGAGGTTGGATGCAAACGTCCTCAATGAGAAGTTCATCGTTCGTCAGAACGTAGTCAAGGCGCGATGCGTTTCCGTTAGGTCCCCAGCGTGTAGCATCACCCACTTTCTCTGAGAGGCCAGCAGTCTTAATTGCATCCTTCAGCTTCTGATTGAAGGATCTGATGCGTCTCCCTTCCGTCTCGAAGAGGATGGACGGGGTGTTGAAGTCGCCGGCAATGACTACGGAATCGTAATTTGCAGAGGAAGTCGTTAAGATAGCCTTGATGACCATTTCCTTATGTGTAGGGGAGCTGGTGGGGGACCGATATTTGACTCCGAGCAGGTATTTGGTACGGTGGAGAGTGAAGTAGCACCATAGAGACTCTGGGAGCTGGGTTAAGGCCGTATCGCTAACCATCCTTGCCTTTAAACGGGAGTTTACGTAGATAGCCACTCCCCTCCTGCTCTATGTTCCCTGTCCCTGCGGAAGAGTTCCATGCCAGTAACATGCATCTCTTCGTCGGAGATGTCTGGTGAGAGCCAGGATTCGGTGATGAATATGATGTCGGAGTGCTGATGTGCGCGCAGCGCCCCCTTTTCTGCTACCTTCCATCTTAGCCCCCTAACGTTGCTGTGCGTACATATTGGAGTGTGCCTGGTGAGAGGGGAGGTCTGGTTGTGTATTTTCGCGGGATGAGAGCTTACGTGGTTGGGTC